CAGGATTTAGGGGCTGCAGGAGCGGGCTGAGTTTTCTTGGCAGGCTCCTGGGCCTTCTCGACGGCAGGCTCTTGCTCCTCGGTCACTTCACTAGTGCCGCTGATACTAGTACTCTTCGGCGTCTCTGAAGAGCGAGCGGCGTCGTCTTTGAGAGCCTGGCGAGGAGTTCCGGGAGCAGGAACAACAGGAACGACCGGAACGACCGGAGCAGTGGACTTGGGTCCTTTCGTCTGAGACTGGGGGCGACCAGAGAGGGTCTGGGTCACCGAGGATGGAGTGGTGGGTTGAGTGGAATTCGCGACCGACGGGGCGACAGATAGGGTCGGCGTCTGGGGCTCTGAGGGTGTTGGCACACTTTCCGCATTCTCCGCGCCTTGCCCCGCATTGTGTTCAAGCCGCTGGGCGTCCTTCACTGGGAGTTCAACTGAGGCCGATGAAGATTGGAATGCACGGCCTTTGCGACGCCTGCGAGGAGCTCTGGCAGGAAAAGGCGATTCAGGATCTGACAGCCATGGGAGCTAGTGATTACCCTCTGTTAGATAACGGCATAATGATAATTGAAACCAAGCGCTTACCGGTGGGCAGAATGGCTCTCTGGGGGCAGGTTCGGCCTGAACAGGGACCGGAGGCGGTGGTGAAGGCACAACAGGACTTGCCAGTGCTTGGGCCGGAATAACTGCGGGTGATTGCGCCTGGTTTGCTAAAGGAACAGGCGCCATGCCAACGGGAGACATGGTAGGTTGCAGGGGAGTTGAAGTTCTGGGCTGCATAGGAAGCGTCGGAGGATGGATGTGCGCTGGCGCCATGATCGGCTGGGAGGGCGGGTAGGTCGCGACATACATCGGGCCATATGGATGCTGGTATGGGCGGGGAGGCATCTGCATGGGAGGATAGGGGTACCAGTGGGAATATTGTTGGGGCGTGTATGCGGCCGGGGGAGGATGGCCGTTCATATGGGGATGAAAGCCCATGTACGCAGGCGGAGATCGCATGTTCGGAGGGCCTGCGGTGTAGGGAATATCTTGTTGTCGACGAGGGGTGGGCGGCATGGGTGGCTGCCCATGGGGCATAGCGGGCAGATGGTGGTTCATCTTGTCCAGGCAGTTGGAGGAGAGGGAAGTCGCCTTGACGATTCAGCCACGCGTTGCCTCAATGGGAGCCATACGAGATCGTGAGAGAAAGACCGGACTGATGAGGGGGGTTTGCACCCGTCTAAGCAGCCATTCTAACTTTCAGAACCAAGTCTGAAAGCTAGGACTAGAAAATTTGTGAAGAGGTTCTTTGGCGGTGAGAAGTCCTGAGGCGTCGAAAGGGATCAGCGCGATGACGAGAAGACGAGAAGACGAGAAGACGGAGAGGGTGCGCCAGAGAGCTCGGAGAAGAGCACGATGACTCGAAGCTCAAATGAAAATGAAGTACTGACCTAGGGCGATGACAGTGTAAAGGTGTAAGTAGCTCTAAGAATGAAAAAAAAAATCTTGGGATGCGAGGGGAAGGGTGTAGGTAGGTGAACAATGGAAAACACCCGGGGTGGGAGTAGCAGCAGCGGAGGGGGCAATAGGCGGGTTTGGCTGGGGAGGAGCTGAGAATGAGATGATGTTTTTTTGGCGGTCGGCACGTGCCTGAGGCTCCAGCAGGCCGCCAAGACATGACATACTCGCCCCTCCCGAGTCCCGAATCCCCTCCTCACTCCTCCTCCTCCCTCCCCCTCCTACTCTTCTTCTTCCTCTTCCCCTCTCTTCTCTTCTTGCGCGTTTTATCTATTTGTTCTGATGCGACAGGGGAAGCCTCAGGTTTCTGGTGCTTCTCCCTCTCCTTTGCGCTACCCTTCGGGGTCTTCGTGATTGTTCTCTTGATAACCCTCATCTTATCTTCAGTCCTTCTCCAAACCTCCCTCACCTTTCTACTCAGTATACCCACAAGCTCCCATCATTTATGCGCTGCCGTCGCTCACTATTTTCCCCTTTATAGGAAGGTAGTCAACCTCACTTCACGCCATCCTCCTTGATTGCACATAATAATGTCGTCCAACCCTGGCCAGATTCCCACATCCAAAGCGGTGAATGTTCCGAGTCAGCCAGCCCCCGCGACATACCATTCATCTGAGAATAGCGCGCAACGACGCGCTGGAGGTTCTGGCAGTTTTGGGGCCGGCTTAACGTCGAGAACCCCTAGCTCCCCCAGAAACAATCAGGCGAGGAGGACTCAGCGACAACGGCGCCCGAAAGTGTTAGATGATGACGATTACAGTGAATCGGTATGCCCTCCATGGCAAGATTTAGCGGTGTCTGGATGAACTAACCGGTGCGGCCAACGCAGGCCATCATGAAGTCTTCAACCAGCCGCAAGGGGCAAACGTCCATCACGCATCTCATGAATTTCTCTCTTCCCCCACGCCCTCAGTATCAGCCTCCGCCCCGCAATGCCCGCCGTTATACCTCCTGGGGCCCGGGCTCCGGCTATCACGCGGTGGATAAGGCCCGCTACGTTCATGCAAACTACCGTTTCATTGTGAATGCAACCCAGAACTATCACACCCAGGCGGCTAACGCCGACGTTCACTTGGACTGGGATTCAGTTCTTCAAGTCCTGGTGTCGGAACAAACTCAGTCTGCCAGTTGTCCTATCTGTCTCTCCACTCCGGTTGCCCCGCGCATGGCTCGATGTGGTCACATCTTCTGCCTCCCCTGCCTCATTCGCTACATGCATTCAAGTGATGAGGAACATCCGGTGCCTGAGAAGAAGCCACGCTGGAAAAAATGTCCCATCTGCTGGGATTCGATCTACATCTCCGAAGCACGCCCTGTGCGTTGGTTTCGTGGTCAAGAAGGTGATCTTCCCGTCGAAGGCGGCGACGTCGTTTTAAGGTTGGTCAAAAGAGTGCCTGGCAGCACCCTAGCGCTGCCTAGAGACGGGGCCGAAGACATCGCTCCCGGTGCGGATATTCCATGGTACAATGTTGCTGAAGTCGCCGACTATGCGCGGATCATGAAGGGAGGTGAGGACTACATGAAGGACCAATACGATGCAGAGATTTCCGGATTGCAAGCGCAAGAGGTAGAAGACGAACTTCTGTTTGGGGACGATTCTACATGGAGCAGGAAGGCAGTTGCCGCCATCAATGAAGCGAAGTCCAGATTAGATGGCATCGGAAACCCTCCAGAGAATGTTGAGCGACGATTTGTCAACCTACCATCGGAAGCCGAAGCTGCCATGAATTCTACGTTACAAGATGCTGCACAGTCAGGCAAAGGCTCATCTGCAGAAACTTTTTCATTTGAAGGCGAAGGTCTTGACGGAACCCTAGAGAGCAAGGTGACTGCCCACAATGCGGAGCGTGCGACTGAGGCGCTCGATCAGCTCGACCTGAACTCGACCGGCTCCAAGAACAAAAAGAGAGATCTTGGGACTGGCCGTGGCCCTGAACACCCGTTTTACTTCTATCAAGCTCTACCTCATTTCTATCTTTCCCCGCTGGACATTCGCATTCTTAAGGCCGCCTTTGGTGATTATCCTTCATTCCCTGCCACGATTCTACCACGGGTTGAACGAATCTCCACTGGGCATATTGTCGACGACGAGCTTCGAAAAAGGGTCAAATATCTCGGTCATCTCCCCTATGGATGCGAAGTGAACTTCCTCGAATGTGATTGGCGCGATGTCGTTCAGCCCGAGATTTTGCAGGAATTCAAGTCTGAAACCGACAGGCGGAGAAAGCGGAATCGAGATAAAGAGGCCCGAGAGGAAAAGGATCGCATCCGTGCTGAGCGGGAAGAAAACGAGAAGGGCTGGGCTTCTGCGTATCGAAAAAGACTCAGTATTGGTAGCAGCAGTGACCCTCCGTTTTCTGACCGTGATTTTCAGCCTTTAGCAAGCGGCGCTTCAGGCCTTGAGATGTCTCCTCCGGAGGAGGGGGGCTTGGAGTCTTCATCAACAAGTCCGCCCAGCAGTCGAACAGTCTGGGGCACGGCAGCGGTGGCACCACTTTCCCAGCCGTCCAGCTCTCGGGCAGCCGCTTCTGATGGTTGGCTTCGAGGCTGGGAAGAAGAGCTCTGGGCCCAGCAAGAGCGAGAGGCTCTCGCTCAATCAGCTGCTGAGGGGGCCAGTACACCCGCCTCCTCTTCGGGTGGGAAGAAAAAGAAAAATAAGAAAATCACACTCATGTCGACTAACATCCAAAGAGGCGCTTGACTACTTAGGACCTCATAGATGGAATTTCGTTTCAGGGAGCAAGGGGACATGTGGACATGGATTGGGAGTCACAAGGCAAATTCGCATGTAGACGCCAGATGTTAAAACTTATGTATGATCAATGATAAATATACATTCCTGTATCTCGTTTATATTGTACTGTTCAATACGAACACGAAGGATAAACGTGTGATTTGAAGTTGTCATAGTCATCAATAGGGCCTGTGGGGGATGCAGTTTGTTAAGCCAGCCAGGCCAATCATTGAGTGTGAATCGGTTAGTATGCGTCTTTAGCCAGGTGTTCAGATCCCTTTCCCCTGCAGATCCCACTACGTTAAGTATTGGACGAGTGCAGACTAATTACAAGCTTGAAAGGTCATTGTTAGGACGTACTGTACAAGCTACGTGAACTCTCAATTGGAGTACAGTCAAACCATGAAAAGGAATATGTTGCTGAAACTGTGATCTACAGGCACTGACCGACTGGTTGGAGTACTCGTAGTGTAACCTATAGTTCCTATGAGTAGGTATGTACGGATTGGTATCTGCACTGTGGAAGTGCCACCGCGCGGGTATGGAAAGAAACCCACTCAACTCAGTCTTAGTGTTTCCCCGACCCTGGTGGGCACTGGGCACTGTTGTTCTTCTTCCTCGATCGCCCCATCATTCTCTCTTTCCCTCCCTCTCTCCCCTACCCACCCTCTCTTTGTACAATATCAGCTCTGTGGGGTACTTCATCTCAATCGTTCCCTTATACCTACACTCGAAAAAATATTATTAAACTCAATTGACTGCATGGTCCGCGCACAATGACCGTGACTCGTTCCCAAACGGGAAAAACCCCCAAGTAAGTGATTTGTTTTGCGCAAGGGTGAAAATCTCCCAACAAGGAATTCGACTGCCTGCGCAGTCTAATTACTTCAAACCTCCCCTCTCTTTCCCTTCGCTTTGACTTCACCTGCGCGCAAAATACCTTCGCGGCCACTTTGAGCTCACAGTTGGATCAATGGCTAGGAAAATGGAGCGTCCTGGCTTCATCGAGACCCCCGGTCGCCGAGTTACCCGCAGCAGCGTTGCGCCATCCGACGACACTTCCGATTCAGCAGCAGATGCTTCAGGACAAGGCAAGTCATCGTCTCGAAAGCGCTCGTCTCCCAAGGTTAAGATCGAGCAAACCTCGGAGGAGGAGACAAACACGCCCGCGACCAATGGACACGCCGCTATTTCGAACGGCAAGAAGCCACGCATCATTGATGGCTGGGAGGAGGGCAAGGACCCCAAGGTCGATCACAGCGGACATTTCGAGTTTGGCGGGTCTTTGGGTGTATTGTGTATGATGATCGGATTTCCGATGCTGATGGAATACATGTGGCTCGGTGCCACCTATTACGATGGCAAACCGCCGCTTCCTGAGCCGGGCCAGAGCATCCCTGAGTTCTTCGCGCATCTTGGTGACTTGCTCTATGCGGGTGCTTTCCCGTCTTTGAAAGCATGGACGATATATTGGGTCTTTTTCATCTTTGAGGGAGCTTGCTACGTGCTTCTCCCTGGTATCACCGTCATGGGTCGTCCTCTGCCGCACCTCGGAGGAAAGCAGCTCCCTTATTACTGTTCCGCTGTCTGGTCCTTCTACACGACAATCGCCTTGGCTTTATTGCTCCACTTCACCGGCATTTTCAAGCTTTACACGATCATCGATGAATTCGGACCTCTCATGAACGTGGCCATTCTCTCTGGTTTCATTGTTTCCTTCGTCGCGTACTTTTCAGCGTTGGCTCGAGGCGCAGAGCACCGTATGACTGGGTATCCCATTTATGATTTCTTCATGGGTGCCGAGCTTAACCCTAGAATGTTTGGTATTCTGGACTTCAAGATGTTCTTCGAAGTCCGCCTGCCATGGTATATCCTTCTGTTCGTCACTATGGGTGCAGCTGCCAGACAATATGAAACCTACGGATATGTATCTGGGGAGGTCGGCTTTCTTCTCATGGCTCATTTCCTTTACGCCAACGCCTGCTCAAAGGGCGAGGAGTGTATCGTTTCTACATGGTGAGTTTTCGGTTCGGGACGCTGTCGGCATATCAGGCTAATGAGGAATCAGGGATATGTACTATGAGAAATGGGGTTTCATGCTAATCTTCTGGAACCTTGCCGGAGTGCCTCTGAGCTATTGCCACTGTACCATCTACCTTGCCAACCACGATCCCGCTACCTATCGCTGGAACCGGCCTTTCCTGATTTTCCTCTACGTCGCGTACCTCTTTGTGTACTGGGTCTGGGACACGACCAACAGCCAGAAGAACCGCTACCGCCAGCAGGAGCGTGGTACTTTGGTGTTTCGCAAGACTTTCCCTCAACTCCCTTGGCAAACACTGAAGAACCCCAAGACCATCACAGCTGAGGACGGTTCGAAGATCCTTGTTGATGGGTGGTGTAAGTTTTGCAGCGGAACCCCGACTTGAGTTATAATTCATGCTAACCTTTCACAGACGGGAAGGCGCGCAAGATCCACTACACCTGCGACCTGTATTTCGCATTGAACTGGGGCTTGATTACCGGCTTCAACAGCCCGTTCCCATGGTTCTATCCCGTCTTCTTTGCATGTATGATCAGCCACCGCGCACTGCGCGATATTCAACGCTGTCGGAACAAGTATGGCGAGGCGTGGAGAGAGTATGAGAGACAGGTTCCCTACCTGTTCATTCCTGTAAGTTTGCCTTTTCAGATCTCTCTCTTTTACATGGAACATCAACTTATCAGGCGAATTAGTACGTCTTCTAAATGACTTCATGCGCTGGAAATCTCCATCGTTACATTGACCATCTCTTTGTGAGGCCGACCTGCGCCGACAAAGATGATCTTGTCAACTCTTCGACCTTGGCTCTTTTTGTGAGCTCTATTAATACACTCTTGTAATCATCATTCCCGGCCTAATCCTGGAAACTCCACTTTGTCACTGACTGCTACCCAGTGTGGCAAATCAGATTCCTGATGGGCTTGCCGTGTAGGCTCTATCTTTCTGGCTTGTGTTATTTCTGCTTGTGTTATTTCTACTTCCATGAAAATCATACAATTCCTGTACATTATTAGAATGGTTGTTCTTGGTTGTTTCCGCTTTTGCCATTTTATGATCATCTATGTGGCTTACGGCCTTCTTCGAGCTATTCACCTGTGTTTTTTCTCAAGATACCAATGTACATTCTAGTGCATTCTAAGCCACCTTAACATGACTGACCGGTGCACATATGCACTGTAGCACTAATCTTGAAATTGGACTGATAGTATGCGGATCACATGACCCCCCCTCCCTCAAGGCTTATCGGTCGGCAATCAGTCCGGAGCTGCAACCCCGCCGAGCTAGCTATTTATCCAGCTGCTGGAGTCTTGCTCGGACGAAGATTGAACTCAATCAGAAAGCAATTGACATCCCATTTCGAGTATTTGCAACCACTCTTTCATCATGTTGATTCAAGAATCCTACCACGATGTGCCTACCACGGCGGATGGCAGTGGGACCATGCGTATGTTATAGAACTCGCGCAACCAACGTTGATATTCGGCTTCCACCGATTGGAAGGAGCTTTTTCATAATATCGAACCTGAACACCGAGGGCGCGGATGCTAACCATGTACCCTGTCAGGTATTTACGTCTATCATCCCACCATTCCAGGATATCCCAAAGCACGGTTCCCGGGCGTGGTTGTATTCAGTGAGATCTATCAAGGTATAATCCCCCCGCCTTATCGAACCCACTGCAGCCCGGAGCAGCATCACCTACCGTTGAGCTGATCTCCTGTTCCACTGTATCTGAGCCCAAACTGTTGACATGGGTTCTTAAAATCAGTTACCGGCCCCGTGGCGCGCTTCGCCCGTCAAATCGCCGGTCAGGGCTATATCTGCGCCGCCCCCTCTAGCTACCACGAATTCACCGGTCCGGAAGCCCTTGAGTATAATGCCGACGATACCGACAAAGGCAATGAGTGGAAGATCAGCAAGGTAACAGCAGTCTTGACATAGGGTTGGGAGAGATTGTGCGCATGCTAAATCCCGGCGACCACAGAAAATCGCTGCCTACGACGAAGACGCCTCTCTCTGTGTGGACTACCTCCTGTCACTGCCCACCTGCAATGGACGTGTGGGCGCAACGGGTATGTGCCTGGGTGGCCATCTGGCGTATCGGTGTGCGCTGGATAGCCGGGTGAAAGCGGCAGTGTGCTATTTTGCAACCGACATCCATAGCCACACGCTTGGGAAGGGAAAGAATGATGACAGTATGGCTCGCGCCGGAGATATCAAGGGAGAGTTGACTATGGTGAGTTCTTGTCTTCCTTCGAGTCTTTGAGGAGAAAGGGGGGCAAGTGAGTACAAGCATAGTCACTGACGTTGATGCAGATTTTCGGTAAAAACGACAATCATGTCCCTCCGGAGGGAAGGGATCTGATCCGCAAGACACTTCATGAGAAGGGGGTCTTGTTTAGCTTTTATGAGGTGGCCTGGGCGCAGCGTAAGTTTTACCTCCATCCCCCCTATCATGGTTTCTAGGTTTGGTGCCGAAGGGTGTTGCCAACGCTAATGTCAACAGATGCTTTCATCCGGGACGAGCTCAGCAAGGGACGTTATGACCCTGCTATTTCCAAGGTGTGCTTTGATATGTTGCTCGAGTTGTTTGGACGGACTCTCAAGCTGGATTTGGGGGAGCATGATGGGAAGGAGTTGGAAATTGAGGATGTTTGCTAGTGGGCGCAATTCTTCAAAACGAACAGTTGCGTTGGCGTCAATCATGTAAATGCTCCAGCACCACGCCTCTTGCCGTAGTATAGACATCTAGCACCGCTGGGGTGAGTTGTCATGCAGTGTACTGCTCAACCTACTTTCACTCTCCTTGAGACGTAGAAAATCATCTGTCTGTACTTCTGACAGGTAATTTGCTCTTACTTTGCAGCTTTGATTATCAAGTAAGGTCCTGAAAACATCTAGTGGTGTCCACGCAAGGGAGCGCAGGAGCCTGGGGAACCCGAGCCAACTGACGATCGGCCTATGGGAGACAGCCCCGAACAACCACGAGTTCGTGCCGTCGCTGTGGAAGTGTGGATTGTCCGTCGGCGAGGATGCATGAACAAATGTATGTAATCAATGAGAGATGCATGATTGGGGTCGATTCATCTGAGACATTGAGACAAGGAAGGGAGCTCGGGTAGCTCTGTCGATCGTCATGATCGTGAACATTATCAGTTAGCCTAGGTTGATAATGATGATGGAGTAACTCCGTAGTAACTGACTATTACGGAGTACTCATCAAATTGTGGCTGGGGCGGGATGGCGGTGAAATCATCCCGACGTGCCATGCTCCATGCCATGCCATGCCATACCATCAACATTCGCCAGCACTTCCACTCCGTCCTCCGCCCGTACTAAGAAGGAAATAGCAAAAGAATGCTGCCTGTCAACGCCAATCGGGCTATTGCCAGAAATCTGGCCAGCGTCATCATTCTTCAAGAGGGGAAAGCTGGGACTAAAATAGAAGTGGGATTGGGGGAGCCGTGGGTATTGCCCTCGTCATCCATGGTCAGCCCAGGGCGACCCTCTCTTTGTTTTTTTTTTCCACTTTTTGATATCAACTAAGTGAGCCACCCGATTATTTTTGATGGAATCGAACCACAAAGAAGGAAGAGAAAGAGGGGGAACGAGGAGAAAATCTGAAATCAATTCTCTTGATTATTCGTACGGTAGCAAACTCTTGAATCCTCATCCGCAGGAGGTTATTTTCTGGGGAAGCTGGAAGGACCGCAGTAACAACAATAGCAATTCATGTTTTAGTGAGGTTTTTGGTTCCTGGATTTGCTGCAGGGTTTTCTCCTCTCCTCTTGTTGGTCAATTCTCATTTAGTCCTTGTTCTTTGCCCCCTCCGCACCCCCCCAACGGTGGTTCTTCCGGCCGGATTCTGGGCTGTCTTTTCCACTCAGGGCTGACCATTCGTTGTTATTTGCTGGATGCCGTATTGTGAGTCTCTCCATCACGCTTTTAGCCCCGGGCTAAACCCACCTGGCAGAATCCCGTTCCTCGCTCTAATCTCTCTAATCATCTCTCGACTCTCGAGTCTAGCCTACTCATAGTTTAGTCTAGTCTAGTCTCTCGTCTTCCATGTCTCGTTTGTTTCCCTGGATCATGGACATGGACAATTGATTGACTGGTTGCTTGATTGATCACGACAAAGTACGAAGGTGCTGTCTGTACCTAACCTACCTACCTACCAACCTACCTACCTACCTACCTACCTACCTACCTCACTATCACTAGTTACACCTCTTGTGGCCTTGCCTTCGTTCTCAACTTTCTCCCTCTCTACCTCCCTCTCCCTCCCTCCTTCTCTCCCTCGTTGTCTCTCTCTCCCTGTCTATCCCCTCATCACCATCATCTTCATCGTCCTTCTTCTTAGCCGCCGCCGCATTTCTCCTCTACATACGGACAAGGATTCTCCTTCTCTCGCTCGTCCTCGTCAGCATCGCCAGCATCTCACCCACCCTCACCACCTTCACCACCTTCACCACCTTCACCACTTCCCAGTCCTTCGATACTGATCCATCACTCTTCCATATTTCCGCTCCCCCCACGTCTTAATCCACGTCTTAATCAGCACCGGTGTTTGACATATACGCTGACTGCCTGACGCTCTCCCATCGCTCTTTGGCATTCTGCCAATCATCGTTTCCAGAATTGTTTCTGATTCTTCACATCTTTCGCTCCTCCATCTCTGTCGCTTTTCTTCAGCCCGGTCTCTGTCCGAGCTGCTGCACGACTAATTGCCAACCCAACGTGTCCGCCATCCCGTGTCTGATCCGGCGACTACCTAATTTAATTCGTCTGCCGCCAACTCTCTCTTCAGGCTTTATCTTTGTTTTTCTTCCTTTTTTTTGCTTTTCATTATCTCCAAGCGGGACGATCTTTCGATCGACAAGGCTCTCATAATCCTAATCTTGACTTTCACATCTCTTGAACAGCGATCTGCGGCGGAGCTATCGTGACCGACGTGGGTCCAGGCAGGGAAAACCAACTAATTCAGTCACCACTGCCATCATCATTACCTCTCGAAACACCATTTTTAATTCTTCGCTGCTCCTCACCACCTAACCGCTGTCGCATGTTGCTGAGCCCATATTAATCATGGGTTCGACGCAATTTGGCAATTTCAACGTGGGTTCACAATTGAGCTGCACCTCGAACTTGAACTGACCGTGGCCGATTTGCACGTGTAGGACTTTTGTCGCGATTCCACCTTACCAGTCTGCAATGTATGTAATCCCTCTCACCATGTCTCACTCGGACCTCGAAATATCGCTAACCATTGCCATGTTCCAGCTATTTGTGTCAAATAATCAACCTCCAAACAAAGCTTACGGTGGATGTGTACTCAAGGGCATTGAGCTCAGTGGTGACCGATATCTCAGCAATTTGGGTATGACATGAAAGTCGAGAGGGAAAGTTGATCTCAACTGACGTAGCAACAGGTTCAATTCTCCTGGCATTCATCTCCATCCTGGCGACACTTTTTCTGCTATTCAGATCTGACCGCAAACGAGCCGCAGTTGGAAGAAGGTACGCAATAAGAACAAATTGGGATATTGGGGACCAGATAGGGAACTAATTGGAGCAGGGAGATTCAACTATTCTTGTTTGGCTTTCTCATCATCGAAATCTGCGAGATCTTCTCCGTGGGTGGATTCCCTCTGGACAGTGCGGTCCGAAAGGTTAGTTTGCCCAACTTGTCCGGGACGCTCGGCGCCTTATCCATTTATCGTACAGGGTTTCTCGGCGGTACATATTGCTGCTATTACTGCGACATGCTGGATTCTTCTGCTGAATGCTCTGGTGGGCTTCCAATTCCTTGACGACGGCACGCCCGCTTCGATTGGCTTGATTGTCGCCTCTGGTCTTGCCCTCTTCATCGGCACGGGATATATTGCCTTGGATACGGCTTTCGACTGGACAGGCGAATTCGCAACTACCTCCTCGAACCACTATCGCAACATTGCCCTTTATGTGCTGTACCAGCTCTTCCCGCTTGTTTGTCTCGTCTTGTTCTATGTGTTCGAAGTTATCCTGGTGGTGCGAATTCTTGGCGAATTCCGGCCGTTGAGTATGTTCCTCCCCACTTGTTGTATACTTCATGATTCTGACTTGGCTGCAGTCTATTTGACGGCAGCCGCACTCCTATTCGCCATTGGCCAGATCTTCCAATACGTGATTAGCGTTCATCTGTGCGAAGCATCTAGCGGGAAAATCAATGGTGCGCTGTTCGAGACTCTGTTCACTTTACTGGCAGTAGTCACTGTGTGGTTCTTCTGGAGCAGCATCACGGAGGATGACTGGCCCATGCCGATGTCAACCCCTGGAGGCTACCATTAAATCAAGGGAACCCTATCAGGATCTCCTTGATGTCTTTGCGACCATTACGCACATCTTGTTTCCATGTTTCTTCTCTACGATCCTTGCACATATAGTGCCTCAATACCCATTTGGATTTTGTTCTCGGTCCTCGCGTCGCATCTGCAATTGCGTCTTGCGATGAAGGCCCGTATGTTTACCATGTTTTGTGTGATACCTATTTCACCTTATGTTTGATGATGTTTTGCTAATGTGCCTCGGTGTGAGTTATGTTCTAACGATGACTTACCGCGGCGAGTGAGCCCGAAGGATCACCGTCGGCTATATTTACTGCCTTCCTGTCTCCGTTTCTTTTCACCTTGCATTAGATACCTATTTGTATTGTAATTAGTCGATTTGATGTTCAATAGGACGTACGCAGGAGACGTCGAGTCACATGATTCCAGTCTTGGTTAATCTAGGTCATTCGTTGATCCCTGTACGTGTCACCACTTCTGAAGACCTTCTGTGAAAAATTTGCTCGTGTCCCAGATTACCCTAGGTATGACCAAAGTACCCCATTCTGGAAAGGAAGCGCATACATCAAACTTCTCATCTTACGAAATGACTGCGCCGGGGCACTTGCGGGGCGCTTTTGAGATTCCATATCATCAGGATTGACTCCTAAGAATAAGAAATAGGAATAAACTTCAATATATGCTATGTACAAATTGAATCAGAATCACCCACGCCTCATCCACTATCGTTTCGCCGAATCACTGGTTAGATAGTTCTTTATACTCAAAAGGCGATCTTCTCTCCGCAAGAACTTGTAGCGTACCTGCAGCGTACAGCATACAGCGCATCACAGGTTGAAACGATGGAAACCGCCTCTCTGGGTCTGACTCATGCCTATGAGTTCAAGCAAGCTCTCCTTCTATCGCTCCCCACGAATTATAGGACTAAGGATCCCGAAGTGACCACCGGCCGCTATATATGTAGACAGGGGCAAGTGACACGACACCAACCACCCAATATAATGTTTTTTTTTCCCCTGATCAGAAACCACCCCGCATCCGCAAATACCACTTAGAGCCTCACCTTGACATCCACGCACGGCAAGGTCCACTCCCTCCGGCCCAGAAGACTGCGCACCCACTCCATGCCAATCCCCGTCCATTCCTGCGGTACACCCACCTCAGTCGATTGGTTCAGGGCGAGCCGCCGCTGCGCCTCATCGATGACGGCCCCGGAGAGTGTCTTGGCGGTCGAAGTCACCGTCTCCAGGAAATACTCGGCTAGGGTCTCGTTGGCGGGACTGACCGGGCATGAGGTGGGCGCAACGGCGGCGGCGGCGGGGGTGGTGTAGCGCGGACTGAACCAGTCGCCGCGGAGGTCGAAGAAACATCTGTCGGACCAGTGGCAGGAGGAGATGAAGAGGATGAGGAGCAGGGCGGAGCAGTAGATGCACGGTCGGTGGAGGATGTAGGTCAGGGTAACGAAGGAGATGATGAAGAGGGGGGAGGCGTTGGTGGGGATGAAGAAGAGGGGAAGCCAGCTAGATTCAGAGGTGATCAGTATGATGAGAAGGTAAAATGCATGAGAAAGAGCCGAGGTTGAGCGAGCGGTGTGGGTGAATGATGATGTGGATGGCATAGAGGTGGGCGCCTTACCTCCGCAAACAGAACATGGTGAATGAGGTGGTTTATGGAGAGTGTAGTCGGTCGGCTGTTCAGATCAGACGGTGAACGGATGAAATCAGTGGCGAACAGGAGTGTCTTGCGAAGAGTTCCGTAGAGAGGTGGGAGTAGAGTAACGGGAAGGAGTCTCAAGGTGATTGAATAAGATCATCTCATTGAGAGTGCGCATTCATGATCTCCGTGTGTGGTGTGACTGGATGTTGCGGAACGGAGGGAGGTTGAGTGGTTGGATATTGCTGAGGTAGTCAGTTGGTTTGTGTTCATCATCTTCTATCATCATTCCGGGAGTTCACAGCGATGAGATAGTCTGGCGGTTCGTTACCGATTACCGTCATGTGTAATCTTACGGTTATTTCTGCATGAGCCACCCTTCCTCCACCGCCACAATTACCACCAGCTCATCTTCTTCCCGCTTACCTCCAATTCTCGCTTCCTCCGAGCTTTTTCCTCTCTCTTTCCTCTTCTCTTTCCTTCACTTCTTCTTTTCCCTCTTCCTCTCTTCTTCCTCCTCCTCTTCTCTTCTCCCCCTTCATTCTCGTCACATGTACAATAGTCCGTCCTTTGCCTTCTGATCTTTCTCCTTCTCCTTCTCCTTCTCCTTCTTGTTCTGCTCCATTTAGCTTGCATTCTTTAATTGATTGCGCTGAGTCCGGGTTGTTCTCCTCACACCCGCTCTCACTCTCTCTTGCTTTGTTGGCTCTCGAAAGAGAGCTACTTCTGATCTACCTCGGAGCTTGAATTTTCTTTGGAGGTCGCCCTCATTGATTGGCGAGCGACAGAAATGTCCACCCCCAACGATCTTCAGGCCCTCTTGGCCAGCATCAGGCCCCGCCCCTCGCCCTCGGGCACCCCTGCTCATGATGCTCCCATGCCGCCGTATCCCATGCAGTATCAGCAGGGTTACCGCTCGCAGCATCCGCAGCAGCACCAGCCGCAGTACGATGGCCAGGGCTACCCTCACCCGCAGCTGCAGCAACAGCAGCAGCTCCAGCAGCAGCAGCAGCTCCATGGTTACCGTCACCCGTCGGTTTCGTCCAATATTCACAGTCCATCTCCTTCCGTGAATACTCCTCCACACCACGGCTCGGATATCCTTAGTCCTAATGTTCCGACTCCCCGTGGCGATATGTATTTTCATCAACCCCCGCCGCCTCAGCAGCAGCACCAGCAACATTACCAATCCTTGCCTCATAACCCCGACCGTGCGGTGAATCTGCTGAACTTGCTCAAGTTCAACCAGCCTACCACTCCTTCCGCCCCCCAGCAACAGCAGGCTCCGGTTCCTGGCGCTGAACAGTCCACTTACCTACAGCCTCGTGCTGCTGGCCTGGAGGAGCAGTCGAAGGCCCACGCGAGAAATATTTCCGCCTCTGATTTGGTTGCGTCGCTCTTTGGTGGCCAGGGACAAGGTGCTGCGGCCGCTCCGGCTAGGCCTTCGGGGTCCATCTCCGGTCCAGCTGGGGCTGGCACGGGCGAGAGCTCTGCGTCTGCCGGTCCGACCGCTGAGAACACGCAGGAGATGTTGCTGCGTCTTCTGAACCGCCCCAAGTCTAGCCAGGACGTTTCCGACGGGCCTGTCAAGGCCGTTTCTCAGTCTCCCTCGATCGTTGCGTCCCAAACGTCTCCTGTTCCTGAAGCGGAGCTGAGGAACATCCTCAAGTCTCCCACTGAAGAACTGGAGGAGCCCTTGGTGTCCCCGGACGAGGCTGGACCTTCCACGCTTGACAAACCTGCTGCGGGCAAGGATTCGATGTTCACCTATGTCAACCCGTTTGAGCAGCTGGCTGCCGCATCTCCTCGCAAGGTCACTCCGCAAGCCAAGCCTCGGAGCGAGAGTCCAGCCATTGAGATCATGAAAAGCAAGAAGATCACCATCGCCACTAAGGTTGAACCTTCTTCAGCTTCAGAGGCTGTTGAGACCCCACAGACCGAAGGCCCCAAATCGCCTATTTTGGATGAAGAGCAGAGAGAAGCCGTCAACTCTGTTGTTGAGCGTCTTGTCGATGAGATCGGTCGTGAGATTGACAACGCCGCTAACAAATCAACTGAGGAGAAAGTCACCCAGCTCGCTGCTGCCCAGGATGACAGCACTCAGGCTGTGTTGTCTTCCATCGCCAGTCACCTCCAGGAGACGGCTGCCGAAGCAAAGCTTGAGGGCAGCGTAGATCGGAATTCGATTGAGGGCACCGCCACTCCCGCTGCTGTGAAGGAGACTTCCAATAATAGCAGCGGTGATGCACTGGCGGACAGCTGGGAGAGTGCTGAAGATAGTGCTGAAAAGGAAGAAGAACGCATTGTTTCTGTGCACAACTTCCCCCTCAAGCCGTTCATCTCTATTATCGTCAAAGCTCATTCAGGGAAGCTTGCAACCCTCCGCGATGACGGTATCATGGATATTGCTCGGCTTAAGAAGGATTTTGATCAGCTGGATCGCTCCTTGACCTCCGCAACTTCGGACTACATTGTGTATGCGCTGGCGAAGAACGGCGGTATGCGTATTATCCGTCAGGATGATGGAAGTGACAAGCAAATTTTCCGTTCTACCCGCGACCGCGTCTTTAATGTTGCAGTATGCACGTCGCAGACTGCTACTGGTCGTACCACTGAGGAGCAGGCCATTCTGGGAATTGGCGTCAGTGGAACCGTGTACTGGGCGTTGATTTCTCGCGCAGACAAGGACCTTTTCGAGCTCGACGCCCTTGAGAGCGAGAGCCTCATCTTCCCCCCTTTCCCGGCTTCGGACGAGAACACTTCGGGTGGCCAGCTGAAAACGCGGGCCAAACGGAGCTCTCGCCATCCTGGGTTCTTCGCTATCGGCCGTGGCAAGAATATTTACGTGGTCTCCCCTCAGGCTGCTATGAATTCTAGCTACGGTGTGTCTGGACCTCAGCGCGTCGTTAACACGGAGAAGTTCTTCAAAGAACGTGCTCTGAAGATCTCGACCGGCAAGGCTGGCAAGGATTTCATGTTCAGCGATGATGACACAGTCATTGCCTCCCTTGACAAGACGGGTCGCCTCCGTTTCTGGGACATCCGCGAGGTGGCTAACAACCCAGGGTTCTTTGGCTCCGGACCCAATCCGGCTGAGGTTCGGGTGCCCTTGAATACGTTCGTCACGGGCTCTCCCGCAGAAAAGTCGTGGCCAACTTCCGTCCTCTTCATCGACAAGCTGCGTCCTTATGTTAAGTCGATGGCGCTTCGTTATGTTCTGGTGGGCTTGAAGCAAAACCACACCCTGCAGCTCTGGGATATTGGGCTGGGTAAGGCTGTGCAGGAGCTCAAGTTCCCTCACGAGAACGAATCGGACGCCATTTGCAGTGTCGCCTACCATCCCGCATCTGGCATCATTGTTGTTGGTCACCCAACTCGCAACTCCATTTACTTTGTTCACCTCTCTGCGCCTCGTTACAACCTGCAGGCGATGTCGCAGGCTTCCTTCATCAAGCGCTCCGGAGAGAAGGACAGCAGCCTTCCCAAGCCTGAGTCTACCGCTTGCATGAGTGGGATCCGCGAAATCTCCTTTGCCTCCAAGGGCCAGCTGCGAAGCTTGGATCTCCTCCCTATCACCAAATCGGCTGGAGATGAGAGTGGTTTGTTTGAGCTGTACGTCATGCACTCGCGTGGAGTCACATGCTTGAACATAAAGAAGGAAGATTTGGGATGGACCACCGACAACAAGATTGTCCGTCCTGTCAATGCTTTGGAGGAAGGGTTCATCGATATCGCTGAGCTGCAGACCTTCCCCACGTACGTGGCAGACGAGCCATCGGTCAATGGTGATGCGGCTCCAACTCCCACCAAGCTGGCGGCTAAGGAGATCATCAAGAAGATGCCTGAGCTCAACACCGAAGCTGCTGCTGGAGCTGGTCCCAGCACCTCTCGCGTGCAGTCACCAACCAAGGCACCTGCCAAGAAAAAGGATGAGCCATTTGACACTATGTCTACCATCAATGGTGTCGACAAGGCTGAGAAGAAGAAAAAGAAGAAGAGTGCTGTCACAGGCATGAGTGAGCCGACCGCAAAGGGCAAGGAGCCCGTGCTCTCAAATGACGGCCCGTCTAGTGAAGTTCCTGCTCCCACGCAAGGTGTCGCGGACAATGAGCCAGCCGTTGAAGAAGCCCCTGTCAACTCAAGCGCTCCTCAGGCAGTGCCTCTTGCTTCTCCTGTGGCTTCCGGCGCTGGTTCCGGCGACTCGGCTGCTATTCTAAACAAACATCTAGAGGTGCTGCAGAACGGCGTATCCTCGGAGTTCACAAAAAGCCTTGGTCGCGAATTGGAGGGACTTTACACCCGCTTCGACGAGGAGCGCCGCAACTGGGATGCGGCATCGGCAGCCAAACAGGATCAGGTCTTGCGTCTTGTTTCAAGTACTCTTTCAGATAACGTTGAGAAGAACCTTGCACGCATTGTCTCTACCAGCATCAAGTCAGAGGTTGTGCCTGCTCTGACTGATCTTACTGCCACAGTCGTTGGTAAGCAGCTCAACGGTGTTTTGTCGCAGCAGCTGGGATCTGTAGTCCCTCGTGAGGTGCGCCAAGCTCTCCCAGAGGCGGTTACTCGTGCCATGCAGCAGCCCGATTTGATGGAAGTTCTGTCGGAGGCGGTGGGCCAGAAGCTCGCTTCCCGTGTGGAAAGCGAGATTTCGAAGGCCATGCAGAACACAATCACCCCAGCCATTGAGAACGTTGCCATGCAGACTGCGGACAAGGTTGTTGGCAGTATGGAGAAGCAGATGCAGGCCCAGTTGAAGCAATTCGAAGCCCAACGCCAGGGCGATGCTGCCAAGATCGAGCAGCTCACTTCGCTTGTTCGCGGACTGTCTGACACGGTAGCCACGCTTGCTGCGGCACAGACCGGCTTGCAGAATGAGGTTGCCAAGCTTACCCATGCCTTGGCCACCAAGGAGAATGTGGTTGAGCGGCAGCAACAGCAGCAACAGCAGCAACAGCGGCCGCCCGCTTCCGCTCGTAGCGCCTCTGTTGACACAAGAACTCCCGAGCAGATTGAGCTGCAGGAGATTGCGCAATTGATGAGCCAAGGTCACTTCGAGGAGGGATCAGTCAAGGTTGGTTCCCAGTGTTATCCAGTCAATTCAGTATGCTAACGGCAGTAGTGGCTGCAATCAACTCAGCAAGCGGACCTGTTTGACAACCTTTTTGTTCGCATGAACCCGTCTTACCTGACTAGTCTGTCACCCATCGTGGCCCTGTCTGTGGGTGTTGCTGTGACTTCCTCGTTGCAGACCAACCCTATGGAGCGCTTGACTTGGCTGGAGGTAGTTTTGCAAACGGTGAACCCAATGGTATATTTCCCACGAAAGCTAGATTTGTTCTACGCTAACATTCTCATCAGGACCCTGACATCCGTGAAGTCGCTCCTAAGATCATGGACATCCTCATCCAACGATTGGAAGCACTCTACATGTCGGTGGCGGAGACCTCGCCGCACGATCCCATCATCCGAAAGATCGCACCACTGTCGCGCCGCGCCAGGCTTCTGCGGGGTTAAAGCTTCTCTCATGAAAAGTTGATCGACCAAGTTTACTGGTTCTAATGAATAATGCAATCCTTATGGGGATATTGACTTAAAAGAAAATGGGGGATTCTAATGGATTGTATCACAACATGATTGCTTTTACGGGATGACTACTTTATTTGGTTTAGCAATGAAAATGCATGAGCAATGATGAGGATGGTAGTTTCATTACTTGGTATCTAGTTCGATCCGCCTAGTGGGACGAATGACGAGGCATCACAGCTACGAATGAATATGCTCTTTTCCATGGTTGAATTTCTTATCTAATGATTATGATTCTTGCGATATACAATTCTTAAAAGATGAGGTACGTCTTACCAATCCGATCACGTGGACATCGAGCACTGGCCCCGGGTAAGGGACGCTCTTGACTTCCCAGTCATCCTCCACACCTGATAGAAGTGCAATCCCAATGTCTCGCAAACTCTTTGTCTTTAAAGATGGGGGGCTACCTCGAACGAAGACAGCATAGCTAAATTTACTTCCAAGTCGCGCCTGGGCCTACGGCTCCCTCTCTCGGGGCAATTTCAAACTACATTTTGGAAGACTTCCTCTGTGAATTCATCTATGCAGTCCACCACACATGACACAATTTACCCGATAAATAGACCTTGAACGAAGAAAGGACATTGCTAACGCCACAAACACCAAACTCCAAAGATACGCAGTCTAGACCCCAGGGATATATGACCCCAACAAACCTCAAAATAGTCCCGTCCGGCCTGCAACCACAGTTCAATCGTCCAAGGAACAGTCTAATCCACCTCCTCAACGTGGACCGTCCGGATTCTGCCCTTCATGTACCTTTCTCTCTCCAATGCGCGAATCTCCAGAATTGTCTTTGAGTCCGCCAGGGTCCAAGTATCATTGTCCCTCTTCCCTTTCAGGGGAGCACAGGGCCAGCTCCAGCCGCGCAGCTTGCGATCATTGATCGACTCGTGGATGTATTCCCCGGTGAAGTCGCCTTCCTCGCCCTTGGGGTTATATCCGAGCGGCGTCCGGTGCGAGGTGCCCCCGAATACGCCCTCCAGCGTGCGGACCAGACTCGCCGTGTCGGACTTGCCTTGACTGGTCGCCCACGGAGCGAGGTCGCTCTCCGCCACCCGCGGGGGCACGTCAAAGAGATACTCGTCGATATCGAAGCTCAGCTGGCCGTCCTTCATACACTGAGTGATCATCCACGCCAGGGAGATGTTCGCCAGGTGGGGGTCCTTCCCGCCGCCCCCGACGTCGGTGTGGACGCCGGAAAACCAGACCTGGAGAAGCTCCTGGCCGGGGTTCGGGCGCGGCACATGCCAGAGGATCGGGGAGTAGGCGGTGCGCTCTTCGTCCAGCGCCAGAGCGTGGAAGGCATATTTGACGTTCGGGAGCAGGTAGGTATTCCGGAGTTCCAGGCGCTCGCCCAGGTCCTTGCCGAGCCAGGCCTTCTGGAACCCCACCGTGTCCCAGACGCCGATGATCTTGACGGTGAAGGGCGGCAGCTCTTCCCGGAACCCCAGCCGGCGTCGTTCCTCGGGCGTGTAGTCGGGGACCTGCTTCTCGTAGAAGTCGTCGTACACATTGGTGAAGTTGTCCATGCCGCGGTGCGTGAGCAGTCCCCAGCGGCAGACGAGTCCCGCGATCGCGCGCGCGGTGTAGGCGCCACGGGAGAAGCCGAAGAAGAAGATCTCGTCGCCCTCGGTGTAGTTGTCGGTCAGGAAGCCGTATGCCGCACGGACGTTGGCGCTCACGCCTAGTCCGGTGACGCCTGGTGACCGAAACACAACCCTTGTCAGTGGGAGGCCAACAACTGGGCAGGGGTAGGTATTGATTATGGCGAGATGATTAAAGTGGCAACTGGGCTGACATACCGCCCATGTATTTGTCACCTAGGCCGGTGCCAACCCCCTTTTGATAGTAGACGATCTGCGGGACTTCTTTCCTGACACCATTCTCCTCCACGATCGCTGTCTGACTGAGTGTTCGACTCAACCGGGTCACGTTGGACGGCGGGTCCGCAGAGTCGGCTGTGGAGTCTTGCCAGGTTCCTAGAGGTGTGCATTAGCGACCAGACTGCATGGCATTCAAGGTACACAGGTGACTCCAGACCATCGCAGCAGACAATGAGTCGTTTGTAGGAACTGCGCTCGAGGCGTGTCATTTTGTATATATACAGATAGTGGTTATATGCCGTAAGATGTATGGGACTATTTCTCGAGAAAGGGCGGTTTTCGAGAACCACGATGCCTTGTCAAAGCTCCTGAAAGGGGTCCATCATGGCTTGGGGATAGTGCTTATATTTATATCGATTTAGTTCATCTGACAGGTGTGCTCTCGGCGACGGAGTCCATTCGTCAGCATTGGCGCTCAGCTCGGCCGCTACACGTCTGTATTGAAATAAAACTTTGTTCTCAGCCCTGTGGCCACTTTCGAGGAGGCTCATCAGCCAGTCTTCGTCACGATGGCTTCTGTGACGAGCGATCAGTGTTCGGGAATACGAGTAGCGAAAGGCCGCCCTGCCATGGTGATTTGGCCGAGCTGAAGGTTTATATCCGAGATGGATACGAAACATCATCGAGATTGAGGTGGGATGAACTCAGAGAAACAATGGTGGGCCATATTGATTGCTTGGTTGTTGTTTGTCAAGAGAGTCGAGTCCCAAAGGCGGCGGCGTGGGGGGAAGCCAGAAGGCACGCATGCACTAAACCAGATCGACTCAGCAAGCAAGCTGAAAGCAATCAACAACAACTTCTCCAGCCACAGCCCAGACTTTCAAAGCCTCAACAACAACACGAGGCTGGCCAGATGCAAAGGAACAGAGGCTCATCAGGCCTCCCCCGCATTCAGCTACAAGGCATCACGCGCAGAGTAAGCGAGGTGACACTCTATGCCTCTCGAAGTCAATCCCCCGTATTCGTGCAGCTCTTCAGGTTGTGGATGTCCGGCTTGCTCAGCACATCACTCAGCCTTCACCATCGATGTTCTGCACTTATAAAAGCGAATTGGGTGTTGGCTAACGCCAAGATGAACCATTTGGTCCTGTAGCTGCCAAAACTACGGTCGCTGTTGGTTCTGTAGCGCCGTCCAACCGACTTCAACAGCGCTGCCTCCGACAGTCTTTGCGCGAGGCTGCTCATCCCTGTTCGATTAGAGAGTCACCTGCGGCTCTGAATCCCATGCTATTGCACGGATTGATGAGCTAGATCCACGGGTTTGAGACGAGACTCTGTGGTTCAGACGAACGAGAGATGGCATGCGATGTCAAATGATAGATACTGAAGGATAGTCCTCAGATGAAATGTCTTCATTGATCTGGTCTGCTACAGTATAACAACATCCTTACCTGTATGTTTCTATCCCCCATCACCTCCCTTTGTGGACAATCTGCTCCCCTTAATTTTGGTTCCGATTTGTGACTCACCTCACACTTATATTATACGCTAACTATTCTACATTCTATAATGACTCAACAACTAAGCAAACATGACTATAACTAGGAAATCTTTACTGTTCCGATGGCCAACAAGAACTAACCCCGAGATGGAAATTCAGTCGACCAGTGCACACTTGTGCAATTCATAGGCAATCCCGAACAATCAATCTCCGCACAAATAGGCATCTGCCAACGGAATACTGCCAGCTCAATCTCATCCCCGCATTCGCCGCCTGGCCACTTAGTTCTATCAGCCTCCGCAAGTCTGTGGTTGGTGGCCCAGTCGAATTTCACTGCGCCAAGCCCCATGTTTCTCCTGCAGGCCCTCGTATTCGATCGGCTAGTTGCTCTAGCGAGTCAGGCTTCTTCCTTGGCCAGGGACCTTTTCTGTCGGGATCCCTCTGCTCATTACCTTAATAGACCCGGCCATGGCCTGTGCCAAGAGGAACCGTCGATTGAGATGGCTGCCCAGCACTTCAGCCGGTCCCTGACCTTAGACCCTGAATATTTGCCCGATCGTTCTCCGCAGAAACCCCGATATGGCTAATTGGGGTTGGAGGAGGATTTAAACCAAATCCCTCTTCCCAGGGTGACGATAATTGAACCGCTTTCCTACCACGCAAACATCATGGCTTTCTCTACGGGAGCTTGGCTTGCCATTGCAGCGACGTTATCTCAAGTGGTGGTATCAAAGCAGGCCGGATACTTCGACTCGTCCGATTGTATGGCCCCATCGGCGCTTGAATCGTGCTACGATGATGCATCTGATTATTACGCTCAGTGCATAACTAATAACTGTGCTGGTGGCTCGGATGAATGCTATAAAGCGTGCGGGGGTGATGTGGTCTGCATGCAGAGCCAATGTCCCAATCTAGGCATTGATTGTATCAATGTGTGTGGATGTGTGAAAACATCCCGCGAAATTGACTGCGCGGCTTCTGCTTGTTGGAACCAGGTATGTGGCAGACACTCTCATGCATCTCAAGCATCCAAGACTGACTGAAGGGGGTGGGGTCCGGGGAATGGATAGGTTTACTCGTGCGAGTACCAGAAAACAATTGAAGACTTGATCGATCTATGTCCCTCCGTGAACATCACTCAGCTCCCTTTTTGGCCGCCTCCCGACGACGCCCCCGCTGGTTGTTCATGCAACATAGGCAAGGTCGATCAGCGGGAGTTGTTGATTGCGGACCATATGACCACGTGCGCGAACAATATGACGAACCTCGATCAGCTAACAAGCGCGGAGGACATAGCCGACTACGGGCGAGCATGTACTTGCTGTGGGAAAAGTGCTATCATCTCCTCGTGAGTTGTCCTCTTCTCTCTACCCTATCGCCGAGTGAGAAGGCGGGATCGCTGACAGTATCTAGGATATGGGGCGTGTGTCCCAACACGCAGCCGGCATTGTTGGGTGCAGATACCTGGTACAACGCCGTGATTGCTCATGACTGGGACATTTGTGGACCCTATCTTGAGAATTATGACTGTGCGGGAGCGCTAGGCTATGGTGCCTCGTCGGCTGGTAACACCACTCAATTCTACAAACCTGGAGTCCTACCTGCGAACGGGACCGAAACACTGTCAAACACTGGGGGTGTCATCTCCACCCCCATTAGTGGAAGTACCTTCACCTGGACGTTGGGCACGGTCCCCCACCCTGTTACCGCAATGGCAGCTACAGCTACAGCAACGGCGAATAGTGGGAAGTCGGGCAGCACCGCAACTGGGGCGGCGGCGGCGGCGACTACGAAATCCGAGTCGGCAGCAAGGTACACCAGTGCGCCGATTATGGCTGTGTCTGGGGTCGTTGCGTTCACCTTGGCGTTATTAAAGGTCGCCTAAGCCAGGCGATCAATCCAGCCCTTCTGGATAGCCAGTTTCGGTCTTGTAAATCACTAGAAGCGACCATACTTTCAGTCTTGTGTATATGCTATGGTCAATAACAAAGACCGCGTCTTTCTCATGTCCAGGCCAAGATAGGCGGTGCTTATCAGGTTGGGAACCTGAAGAATCCCTTGGGGTGTCACTGTAAGCTCAAGCACTGCGATCCGCGGGCATCTTCCAGCTGTTAATAATTGCGGTGGCTCAGACAAGGACATTGCAAGATTCAGTGAACTCTGCAGGTGAGCTACTCATTTGATGGGGTGTGTATAATCATCCACTTGGGTATGCTCTCCTGAAAAGGGGAGTTTCACACAATACAATGGCTCGGGAGAGGATTTTGAGCACGACCGCCAAATCAGTGCTCTGACTTCCTCGACAAGATGTAAATTACCTTCTTCCGCGGTTGTCAAGTGCACATCTCTTTGTTTGTTCTAGGGCGGAATGATAAGTGTCATTCTGATCAAGTGCTAGGTACAGTGCAAGGAATATGTCGGAATCTCTACGCCAAAACAAAGGCATTGCTGAATTGCCAACTCCCAGAACAAAGACAATGACAGAAATTCACCTGGCAGTGATTATTGTTCATCTAAATTTCGGTCAGTCTGAAGGTAGACCAACGAGTATATAGTCACAAGAAGCAATAATGCCGCTTTGACTATCTCTTCGGGAATTCCGTGTGGGCTGCAAATATCGAGCCTCTGTCTACTCCAGCGCTATCAAATATGGACGACCGAAGCAATGACGAATATTGGTGGGGTGCAACCGTCAGGGCACCTGAGGATATGAATCCAGTGGAAAGCTTGGACTGTATGTACTACCATGGCCCTGAGTATCCACAATATCCAGCCATTGTGTTGGAGGATGATCGCCAGTGGCGCTCCCTTCAGCTGGCGAAATTGCCAGCAGAGATATTCCTGGAGTGCTTTGAGCATATGACCAATCGAGAACTGGCTAACCTCAGCCAGACTTGCAAGTATCTGTACCTGATGTTTCGTTCACTGCTCCGGAAGAAAGCCCGGCAGTTTGCACTGGCGACCCTGGATGAGTACCGAGAGCTGCTCTGGATCGATCGAAACGGTCGGGCCCTCTACAAAGACTGGCAGACGGACCTATACTCCATTCCCTTCCGTGAACCCGTCTTCGAGGCTGTCGCGGCTGGGGATTACTCTCTTGTTGAGTGTTATTTGCGCGCCGGCGTGAGTCCCAATGCCTACGGGCTGGAGGGCTGGCCCTTGCTGCCATGGGCCGCCCGCAGTGGCCGGTTGGAGATAGCGCAGCTGCTGCTGGACCATCCTGCCATTGATGTCGGGCTCGTGGCCTGCGATGAGCAAGTATTCCCCGATTGCAGTCCACTTCCATTGGACATTCTGTGCAACCGCCACTACCACTGGAGCTACCATTCGGAGAGAGATCTTCGCCTGCTAGACTCTGTCGTTCGCTCGCTCCTATGCAAAGGGGCGACATTCGAACACTTCAACGCCTTTCAGTATATCAGCGCCAGTCCGCATCGACTCCGGTTCATGGAGGCGGCGATGGAGAATGGTTCCGATCTCCAGGCCGTGGTCATTGGCATGCGGCGGACGACCTGGTGTCACCACCACGAGTCCCCTGCAAAGTTCGCCGCTTGCCAGCCGGACTCGCGATATCTTGAGCTCGTCGTGCGCGTGGCTCCCGAGATCCTGGGTAACGTAGGGAGAGGTTGGCAGAAGATCGGCGGAAGCCGGCGGCCGGCGACGTTTAGGAGGAGGGATTGGAAGAAGTTGCTACGGTGGCTTCAGCGGGCCTACGGCCTTGTCCCCGGGAGAGACTTCCGCCGCCGCTAGAAGCGACGCAAGGAACCCGTGGGTTCTGTATCCTGGAGCGCAAGCTGCGCTTGTGAGTGCTTCTATGTTAGATATGAAAGTAATGGATGTGCTCTTGGCACTATATCTATTGAATGATTGGCAAGTCTGTGTTTTTTAGGAAGTGTATGTCGGGTGTTTGATTATTGTGTGTTATGTACCCAGGGGGTTTGGCTGGTAGTGGCAGATACTTTGAGGTTGGGGTTGGTGTCTGTTGTAAGTTACAGTACAAACAGCCAGCTGAACCGAGAGTTGCTCTAATTGAATACTGTGTAAGTAGGTTTGGGGGAATATAGCACAGCTACCTCTAATTCTTCAACAGCAAGGCCTGCTGGCCCAATGGTAAGGCGCTTGACTACGAATCAAGAGATTGCAGGTTCGAGCCCTGCGTAGGTCATTACTTTTTGCTCTTTTGCCAATGTAATTGGCCATATCTTTAATCCTACCCAGGTCAATACCGCGGCATCGACCTCATCCGCAGGGCCACAATTTACCCAGTGCATACCGGCGACATATATCCGCGACCCTGGGATCGATTGATCATACACACTCAAAGAGGGCAATCGAATGGTACACGCAGCGCAAATCAAGAGATAAGAATAAAAAGAAAAAGAAAAGTCCTTCCTCCTCATACGTGATGGCCCGAGAAGGATACGTCCATCTTATTGTCCCCCGGAAAGCCCACCATGACGTTGATTGATATTCGTAGGAACCCCATGATGGGGATTGCCCGACACTGTACCCAAAAACACGTTCCCAGAGGTCTTATCAAGGAGGCATGGACGATGTATGAGCAAAGCAAAAAGTGATGACCTACGCAGGGCTCGAACCTGCAATCTCTTGATTCGTAGTCAAGCGCCTTACCATTGGGCCAGCAGGCCAGCTGATATATCAACATTGCTTATATGCCACTACAGCAAAAACCATGCTTGATAGCCATACCGCACACAGCATCAGCATATGCAAAAGTATCGGTGCCTTGCAGAGACGGCTGAAGACTCGCACCAAGCGCCAGTATACACACAGGCAGCATCGGTCTCGAGTGTCAGTTCAAATGCAATCAATACAGTGGCCAGACCGAATAACGTAACGACGGCGTAAGATCTGATAATACAAAGTTTCATCGAGCCCATGAACCGGGCGGTCTACCGAGATATCTCGAACTTAATTCGACAATGACATGCGTTGTATGTCTGCTGCTTTTTGATCGGTCTGGAACTCACAATGACGGTATGTCTGTGTGCATTTAGCCATCCAATACCCTTGTTGCAGGGTCGAGGGCTCACGGTGTATCAATTTGATTCGCTGTTGCGACTAGATGCGCAGGCTATGCGGGAATATAAATCCAAGCACTTTCTACTCCACCCGATTGAAGATACGGGTTTACCCAAAGAAAGCTTTATAGAGACAGATCCCACTGTTCCCGCAGATCCAGCCGGCACGATGCGAACTCGACCAGAGGCCGAACTCATGATTTTTTTCCCGACACCACTACTAGCACACGATTGAGTTCTCGGGTGCCCGCACACATTTTATCAACATCTCCAACCTGCATCAGCTACGACACAAGTAAAAAAGGCAAAAAGATTGACCTACGCAGGGCTCGAACCTGCAATCTCTTGATTCGTAGTCAAGCGCCTTACCATTGGGCCAGCAGGCCTTGCTGATGAAAATTGTGCTGAATCTGTGCTTGATCAGATCAAATACCGGCTCTGAGCCACAGCGGGAGTTGGATCTAGAAATTTAAACCTGGGACCTCGGACTATGTGGGGCTAGCGGGGCGGAAAGAGTCCGTCGCTCTCTCTTCAAATCACCTCTGCTTATCGGGTGACTCCTCCTCGCTACTTACCCGTCTCTTGGATCCTAAGTACTCATTTACTCTACCTAGTACCCACGCACACCCATCATCATACTAATCCCAGACCAACGGAGTGACCATTCACACACACTGGACCCCCAAACAGCCGGGAATCAGACATAGGACATGTATTATGCAACAATCAACACACAGCTTGAACATTGATGATGCGACCCAGCAAAATGGGAGGTTCTCCACAATCGAGTCGGTTGCATGCGGCACATGGGAGGAATGGGATCGATTTCTCAACCTTGAGATGGACGATAACACGTGTGAACTCACATCATTCGATGACGAGAAGATCAATCACAACAGAGACTCAACGTCACATGGGGACGGAAGCTCAATCGCGTTGGCCTCCATCAATCCAGCCCACGCCCGCCCTATCACTAACTTCGAAGGAGCAACCCCTGAGCTACACTATAGCTTCACTCATGTTGAACCCACCGTAGTACAGCAACTGACCGGTGGTGTGGACGCGGGTTTCCATATATCAAACTCCCTCCTGTCAAACCACGCCATCCCAGAAATAGACAGCGAACTGTGGCCGGCGTCGAGCCTCGAACGATTAGCTAGCTTTGACTCTCAGTACCATCCCGATAGCCTACCGGCTGCTTCACTCCATGACTCTCATGATAGTCAGGCAGCGCTACCCGCGTTGGATAGTGGCTTTGGCAGCGCCTCGCTCTTAGTGCCCGCCGAAACCACGCCTTCGATGTTCAACCCGAACACACAACGCACGCTCCCCAGACGAAAAAGCCGATATGCAATACGAGGCAGAGGAACGAATATCGCCCCATCCTACATCCCAAACCCCCGATTTTCCGCCGACCCTTTACAGCGGTGGCAAGACTCACCGCCGGAAGATGAACCGGCCTCGATGTCAGCGATCATGGAATCCCTGAGAAGATTCCCGCCAACCTATGGTCAAGAAAGCAGCCATGGAATGGGCACTGCAAGCCTGGGTCCATTGCATGATTCTTTCAAGGCATACCGGCATCGAACCACGTCGATACCCAGCTCACAAAGTAGCGCCCGCAGTGTCTCTTCCCAGCCCTCTTCCACCTCGGCCAAATCGGCAACCTCCCAGAAGTCCCAAGGTCCGATACGGACTTCCAAAAAGCGTGCTACTGGACGTGTGCGTAAGGGCAGGAGTGCGAAAATGAATCCAGGGGAAAAAGGCCGTCTGTTTTGTTGCACCTTTTGTTGCGATCAATTCCGAACTAAATATGACTGGGCTCGACATGAAAAGTCTCTCCATCTGAACCTGGAAGAATGGGTCTGTGCACCCCAAGGCGGGGCGGTAGTTTCGCCTTCTACTGGGGGAAGGCATTGCTTGTTTTGCAACATGCTAGATCCGACAGCGGAACACCTCAACGAACACAAGTATGAGCCTTGCATGGGTGGTACGCGCACTTTCCGTCGCAAGGACCATCTGGTGCAACATCTGCGACGGACGCATCATCTTGAGACCCTACCCCAGATCGATGATTGGAAAGTTCAAGGACCTCCAGTTACGTCTCGCTGCGGTTTCTGTGACCAGAGGCTGTCGTCCTGGGAAGAGCGAGTCGATCATCTCGGCAATCACTTCCGCAGTGGATCGACGATGGACGACTGGCGAGGGGACCATGACTTCCCCCCGGCCATTGCCAAACTTGTGGTGAACTCGCTGCCACCGTATCACATTGCTTCGGATTCGCGTGTACTTGTGCCGTTCTCAGCCACAAACTTCCACCACTACGACCATCTCAACCAGATAAAATCACGACTGGGGACGAGCGAATTGAATGCCCCTGACCATGAACTGAATGCCGACAACCAGCCAGGGTCTTTCGGAGAATCAGTCAGTGCTGGGTCGGGGAACGATATGATTGAGGTCCTTGTGTTTCACCTGAGTCGCTTTGCGCGCCAGCAGATGGACAAGGGGATCATTCCTACGGACGAAATGCTGCAGCAGGAGTCGAGGCGACTGGTTTACGACTGCGAGGATTCATGGAATCAGACCATCTTTGACAATCCCAAGTGGATTGCTGCCTTCCGGCGCCAGCATATCGATCAAGTGGCAGATTCTGAGAGGGATGGGATGCTGCATCTTTTGGATGGGTTTTCCCTTCATGACGATGATCACGGACCAAAATTAGATAATGCATGATGACAGAGCTCAACAAGACTAACGGCAATTATGTACACAATGGCGCACGTAGCGCGAAAACTGTGGCCACAGCGAGGCAAAGAGAAGCTTTACTCTACCCTAAGCACAGACTGGCTACGATGTACCCTCGTTGTTATTCCGCTCGTCGCTGCGCCGCTTGCGTGGCGTTTCAATCGAATCCACCATTGGGATTATCTTCAATGGGATGTCAATCTGAACAGTTGTATGCAACGGCGATACACTTGAAGTGGAATAAGAGACTGACAGTTTGAGGATATAATCCCGGCTCATGAGACAAGAAGCAAACGAGGGGACAAGAACTTTGTCCCTAGGAAGGGTGATTGGAACGACAACCGAGGCCTCGTAACAATCACCGGCACAGCCAAGGTGCCGGGAGTCATAATTGGCGAGATTATCTTTCTGACTCCGCCTAGCCCATTGCCATTGCACCGACGTCATACAGACAGAGGACAATGGTATGGATTTGACAAAACGATCGGTGCCAGCTGTGGAAGCACAGCCTACCTCAAGTCCAGGATTGCAAGTGTATGTGGTTGACACCTCAAGCTTGGTACGAAGAGTCTTCAGACGTGGTGGAGGAACTCGATCAACGGAATCGAATCGGACACGCACCGCAATCGAGCAAATATCCTTCGAAACCACGTACTCCGGCGTAAGAAGCCGAATAGGCGGTGGCTGAGATGCCGTCAAGGTGAACCGACCAATTACTTGCTCGAGTATGTGCGGATCTATCTGATGGCCCTCCACATCCGCTTTCCCACCTAGACCCGAATGTGTCTGATCATTGGTAGGGACCACCCTCACTTGCTTTGATCGGGCTGCCAGTACTTGCCTCCTGGGACCATGCACTATCCGAACTTGAATTGCATATATGACTTCGCATATAGACGGAGTAAAACCATCACGGCTGCCGCCTGTAAGGGTCAGCGGAAGCCGTGCATGGGCCTCATCGAGCTTCGATGTGCAAACAGGCGGTTCTATGCAGTCCGGAACAACAAAGCTGAAGGGAAAGGAATAAGTTTCACCCTTCTTAAACTGCCGCGGCGAGGGAAAGATGTTGGTGGAAAGAGGATATCGCATTTTGAGGAATGTCCTGGAAGCACCGATTCGTCGATCGGTGTGCGGAGGGCCGGTTCGCTCGTTGTACACCCGATAGACACCTATGTGGTTTTAGCTGATGCTCAAAGCAGTGGCTTTCTTCATTACTGCTTACCCTCAAAGGTGATATTGAGATGGTCAAAGTCCACATCGTGCTCGACTGTAATGGCTGCGGTTCCATTGATCTGGTCCGAGTTTGTGTAGGTCTTGATGGTATTTCCTTGTTCACCGACCAGGTTTATGGAAATGTTCACGCTCTTCCGGGCCCATAGCTCCTGGGTGGCCTTGACACATAGATTAATGCCACTGGTGGACATTATAAGGACACATTCCACACACAAGGATTGAGGGATGGTTGTAAGTCCGTGAATGAGCAGGGAGGAACCATGGTACTCGCTTTATAATCACCCAAGAAAGTATGGAGTAGTCAAAGGACGTCTCTCGTTTCATCGTACGCATGCTTCTAAGGCGTCTAAGGCGTCGTAAGGCGTGGGATGGGCTCCATTCCAACAGTGTAAGTGGACCCGCCAAGGGTAAAGGGCGTGCTTTAACTATAATCTTGGACTTCCCAACCTGAATAAGCGTATTCTGATCTGGGTGCCTGGGGTCATTTTGGTGGTTGGTGGGGTGAGTTCAAGCTGAGAGTTATTCGGTAAGAAGGTATTATCTTGATGTCTTAGTGTCTTGATTTTGTGGGAGAGTGCATGCATGGCATTATTGACCAGTTGATGGGCAGGGATGTTAATTAGCCTGCCATAGGTCATGGGACTTTGCTGTACATGTGGCTCAAGATCGAAACAGAGATTAACTCCAGATGGACTTTACTTGAACCAGAATGGCATCATCCAACTTCCAAGTCTAGACCACAGACACTATGAGTCCATTAGTCTACAGGACCCCTAGGCTAGGCATTAGTTTGCACAGCATGGTGCTGACGCTGACATGCATTCATTTGAGAGCATTTCAAGTGGTTCCGAGTCGATGGATGACTCAAATCAAAAACTCAGTTCGTATCGACGATGGCTGACTCAATTTGAAACCCACCCGACGCTTAAAATCCTAGCCTGACATGCCACTTGTTGTCACTTGCAGGAAGTATAGTCAAATACAGTGAGTCAGTCAGGGAGTGGGAGAGTAGCTTTCCAACCTTAACAAGAACCCCGCTCGCCAAGCTTTGAGCATAGATCGATTCTTTCAAGCGAAATTCATGCAATACAAATCAATCAATTAAGGCTTGTTTATTACCTACTTTCAATAGTCAAAGGACAAGAGTCAGGACCACAAGACTACGCCATCCCGTTTTCGGACCCCGCCAGATTGTGCCTAGTGGATATAGTATATGACCATAGCTTCCTACCAGTCGACTATCCCCATCCACTCTCTCTTCCGCAAAGTAAACATGGACGCAAAGCCAGAAGATAGCTTCGCATTCAATATCACCCGCGAGCTGGAGCACACGCCGTATGCATGTTCGTCCCTCACGCGCCTAAGCGGAGGAACCGTCAATTTTGTCTTCCGAGGACTGCTGTCCCGACCCCTTGAAGATGGCACGAAAAGCGTCATCATCAAGCACGCAGAGGGCTATACAGCTACGAATCGGAACTTCAGACTGACTGCTGAGCGCTGTGTAACCCCTCCCCTCCCCCTTCCCCTGTTTGGAGAAGTTTCGAAAATGGATAGCTGACAAAGACCACTCAGCTCTTTGAGGAGGCCAGCTTGAAGGCCCTCGATGGGCTCCCCAGCACAGTGGCCCTGAAGGGGAAGTCTGGAAGCCGAGTCATCACAGTCAAGCCTCCTCGACTCCTCACCTTCAATCCCGACACCAACACCACCGTCCTAGAGGATCTCCCCGATTCCCTGGATCTGAAGACATTCTGCATCTCAGCTGCGTCGACGATCATTTCCCAGGAATGGGCCGTTTCGGTTGGAAAGGCGCTGGGCACCTGGCTGTGGGCATTCCATCGATGGACTGACGAGACGGCTCAGGCGAACGTGGTAGCGGAACTGGAAAAGAATCGCACGATGCGAGACTTGAAACTCTCCGTCAACTACGGCAGTCTCGCGGAGAGAATCGATCAGCATCCCGCTCTGCTGGGCGAAGCCCGCGAGGTATTCGAGAAGGTGCGGGTAGCGGCGGCCGCTGAGGTGGAAAAGAAGGGTGGACTTGGATATGGAATCATCCATGGGGACTTTTGGTCGGGAAAGTAGGTCATCTTCCTCTCCCACAGTGTATAATTGCTGCGACCCCTCGGGGGATATCGAAGGGCTGACGCGACAGCAGTGTTTTGGTTCCCAAATCGGCACTAGACATGAGCCCTCAGACCTCGCTCTTCATTGTGGACTGGGAGCTCTGTCATCTCGGCCCTCGGGCGTGGGATCTGGGCCAGATGCTCGCCGAATTGTATATGTTGAAGCATTACAGAGGCATCGATGCTGGGCCGTGGATGATTGAAGGCTTTCTCGAGGGATACCAAGTGCCAGATGAGGCATTCGCCTTCTGGGTCCTGATTCACGTCGGTGTTCATTTTATCGCATTCGGTTCTATGATTCAGGGCTGGGGGGCTCCGGAACAGGTTGCGGAGCTCGTTCATTTGGGCAAAGATCTGATTGTGAAGGCATGGGAAAAGGACCGGGAGTGGTTCAGTGGGGTATGGAAGCATCTATTCAAGGACTTGTAGATAAGACATGGTCTAGAGCTCTCTACCGTTCAGTTGGTACCACTATCCAAATGTCCTGAGCATCGGTTGTATCACCCCAATACCCTGCAGGGGACAGGATATCATTGGTCCACGTCCACCCCTCTTACTGCTGGCTTTTGATTGACGCCGTCAAAAGAAGCCATCCACATTCTCCGATGTCATCCTAGCTGGGTTAGGATCGTGGTCTACTTTCGGGGAACTGCAGCTAGTATATTTGGCAAACAGCGTGATGGTGCGACCGTCCAAGCCTTGTATGACCTAGGTCGAGTATTGAGCCTGAATTCCACCGACGCAGGTTGTAAGCGACCTTATTATTTAATAGTAGTTCAACATAGCATGCAACACGAAGACACAGTCAGATCCCAATGCATTTAAGCTGCTGAGTTCTGACTGTTGGCCATGAGCTGAATGGGTTCTGCCTAGGTTTGCCGCCTTCATGCCGCTGCAGGCTGACCGGAGTCTATGTAGGGGCCATCAAGTGGCTAGATCTAACGCAGATTTGCTACAAGGCAAGTGTGGTGAGCATCTTGGCTAATGCTGGGCGTCTCAACAACAGGGCTCGTGCTCGGGTGTTGAGGATTGTCATGACCTGTGATGATGACGAGTCCTTTCGTCCACCCTTGCTGGGCCAAGCATTCTAGTTCTCCTGGGCAGTCAGAGTGAGATTGCCCTGGATCGGAAATATGCATCCGGTGGGGTGGGCCAGAGTATTTATATGGCTGTCGGGATGTCGCGGGCTTTTGTCTGAGAGGGTACGGAGAGACTGGAGATAGAGAATTGACATCATCTATGATCATTGGGGAGTAGTTACTCATAGTTAGCCTGGAGCAGTTCCAGCAGTGCAGCAGATCCCTCGGCCGATCCACACACCCTTAGGAAACTAAGCGACTCCAAGTGACTTCATCAGTAAGCTATAGCCTATAAGCCCCCCCAAGCTTATATGTATTGCTGTTCCAACTTCCAACCTGGTGGTCCTCATCCTTGTATCAAATCAATTAAACTCGTGCGTTAACCTTCACCTGCCATTGCTTGGAACCACTTTGGTCTCTCACCTACCTACCTTACTCCTACTGAGTATACACTATCAATCTTATATTTCTGGTGGCTCGGAACATTCGGATCAGAAGAAGCCTTGCTTTGCATCTCAGCCCCCCAATTGGCTGTCCAATTCCTTGATTGCATGTTGCCTGGCTATCTCTTCGCCCCATTTTATCTGGGAGATTTCGACATCGCGCAATTGACTCTCTGGCTGTATAAGACTCGGAAGTCTGATGATTGCGCTGGGTTGTGTTGCTATTGCTATTGTTGTTGTTGTTGTTTGAGACCACGACGACAGAGCTTTGCGAAGAGTGACGTTGTGTGGACTTGACTCATCCGCCCACCACCACTGCACCGCAGCGCGACTTCCCACTCTTTTTTCCCCTCCACTCTTGGCTACGACTGACTGCACTGTATCGTTCTTCCCTCACTGCTCCCTCTCTTTCTCTTGATTCCCTTATCAGAGAGTTGCGCAGTTTCCCTTGCCTTCACGCGAAACCCCCTCCCCCCCCTACTTTGACACCTTACTTTCATCGTTCTCTCTCTCTTAATTCAGGCTGCGTCCCTGCGCCACCTGCGGGGATGTCTCAACACACAGATATTGCGCGTTCGGCCATCATGACCTGCGCCTCAGTTCCGGATCACCAACGCGACGGGAAAAAACATTCTGGAACTCCGTCACAGTCGGGAGCCGGGAAAGAGGCGAATCTTATGCCTCCGGCGAAATCGCTGGTCGGACGAGCGCTAGGAAACGAACTGCATTCCTCCGATGCCCACAAGGGATCCCAAGCCTCCAAGGATGGTGTCGGGTTCGCCCTAACAGACACTCCGGTTTCTACCGCACCCTCGTCTCCACAATTGTATGTATTTCCTTTCTTTTCGTCTGCTCGTTGGTTAGCCTTCCTGCACATGTCCCCTAGAGGTCTCGATTGAGTCGACTCTGGCCGGAAGAGCATTCTAGATTTTTGCCGCAGCCTGGGGAGTGATCGGCAGTTTGCTCTGGAGTCGGGTTATTTCGTACCGGCACTTAGAGGGGGGGTCACCTTTCCTCAGATTACCCCCTTCCCCTCCCCCTCCCCCTCCTTCCCCAACCTGCAGCAATTGTCGGTCAAGTCTTTCAACGAGGGTTTTGACTTGATACGCTCTTCGATTCTGTATTGATGACCTCCGGTCGCAATGCGCGATGTGATGTAGCTGAAGCTGAGGACATCTCTTTAAACTAACCGTCTGCCATTAGTCCTGCCAACTCATCAACCCCTAATCTCCCTGGTCGCGTGCGTGCAACCACACTCGACATCCCCGGTCTCACCAAGTCGAAGGTCTCCCCCGACGGACGAATCGCCCAGCGAGATGTCGGATCCAAGCTCGTCATTGTCATGGTTGGCCTCCCCGCCCGGGGAAAGAGTTACGTTACCAAGAAACTCGCGCGGTACCTGAATTGGCTTCAGCATGATACTGAGATTTTCAACGTCGGCAATCGTCGTCGTGTGGCCGCTGGCAAGTCCCCCTCTGTCGCGGGACGCCGTCCTAGCCACCGAGCCAGCGTCATTCACAGCGAGCTTGTGGATTCGGTCCGACGCCTGAGCGTCAGCGTCGGTACCTCCAACCAACCATCGCACAAGGACATTCGGCGCCCCGAAGGTGCTTCGGGCCTTTCGAACGAAGTAGTGTCTTCGCCCCCGGAACTTGAGAACCAGCTTCCACCTCCTGCGTGTCCCACCAAAATCCTGGTCAACGGCAAGGAGGAGGACCCTTCACAAAGCACGATTGTACCCCCGTTCAATGCAGGTCTTGAGGACCAGGATGCCATACGCGAAGCATCCCCTGAGCCCATCGATCAGTCCGCCAACTTCTTTGACCCTCAGAACCAACTCGCCGTGAAACTGAGAGAACAGGTGGCTTTGGACACCCTGGACGAGCTGCTGGAGTACATTCTTGAACAGGGAGGTAGTGTGGGCATTCTCGATGCCACGAACAGCACCATGGAGCGTCGGAAGACAATCGTTGATCATATTCGCAAGCGTGCCGGCACGGAATTGAATATCCTATTCCTCGAAAGCAGTTGTGTGGATCAAGAGCTCCTCGAAGCCAACATGCGCCTGAAACTTTCCGGTCCGGATTACAAGGACCAAGATCCTGTCAAGGCGCTGGCCGATTTCAAGCAGCGCGTGGCTCTGTATGAGAAGTCATATGTTCCTCTGGGCGAGTACGAAGAGAAGAACAATATGGCCTTCATTCAGATGATTGACGTCGGACGCAAAATTGTGGCTCATCAGACGCATGGCTTCCTTTCCTCGCAGGTTGTGTACTATCTGCTCAACTTCAACCTTTCACCTCGCCAGATCTGGATCACGAGACACGGTGAGAGTAAGGATAACCAGCTGGGTCGCATTGGCGGTGACTCGGAGCTTAGCGAGAACGGCCATCGATATGCCAAGGCGTTGACTCGATTCATCGACCACCAGCGGCGTCAATGGGAGCTTATTCAGAGACAGAAGGAGATGCTACGACACCTACCACCCCGCGCTGGCGACAGCACTCCTCCCAATCCCTCCTACATCCCCTGTGACCGCGCCCGTAACTATTGCGTCTGGTCCTCAATGATGCAGCGCTCGATTCAAACAGTCGATTATTTTAATGAAGATGATTATGACGTGAAGCAGATGAAAATGCTTGATGAGCTTTACGCTGGCGAGATGGAGGGTATGACCTACGATGAGATTCGTGAGAAGTTCCCTGAGGAATACCAAGCTCGTCGCAAGAACAAACTCTTCTACCGCTACCCCGGGCCTGGCGGTGAAGGTTATCTGGACGTGATCAACCGTCTTCGCGCTGTGATCATCGAGATGGAGCGGACGACGGATCATATTTTGCTTGTCACCCACCGATCCGTGGCGCGCGTTCTTTTGGCCTACTTCCGTGGCTTGAAACGTGATGAAGTCGCCTCCCTGGATGTACCCCTTGGCATGCTTTACATGTTGGAACCCAAGCCCTATGGGGTGGAGTTCAAGGCTTACCGTTACAACGCGACCACAGACTGGTTCGATTACATCCCCGACTTCAAACTGCAGCAGTCTAGCGTCTACTAGATGTGACATGCATTTCCATATGCCCTCTTTCTTTCCAAATTCTCCCCTCTGTTCGTCAGATCCCGGATGCCCGCCATGACCCACCAACGCCGGCCACACCTTCGACCGGCTTGAACGACTGTCATGATAATATCTCCTGGGCTCGATTCCTGTCTCTTCTTCTGTGCCCTGGTGTTGCGGTGTCCATCTTATCACAGTCCCTAGGCTGACGCATCTTACTCCCCACTTCTCCAACCATGTATCATGCTCCAATTCGTTTGCCGGGGGTGGGGGTGGCTTCTTTGCTATCGCTCTGCTCTGGGGTGGATTATTTTCGACTTCTTCTCTTTTTCCTGTAGTAGTTCTTTGCTTGCATGACTGTGGCGTTTGAGCGGGCCTCTATCTGTTTCTACGATTAGTCGCCACAGGCGGTGCCTTGGAGGATGGCATCGCTACAGGACAGCTAATTGTGAGACTACTTTGCTTCATTTCTGACTCATAAATGAGATAGCCTCGGCTATCTCCAGCATTACTCCAGACTTGCTCAAATGAAGAATCTATCTAATATTACCCATACCAATAAACATAACTCCAGCATACAGCCATCTCTAGTCTCCATAACTCAAGCACTCTTCACCTTGTCGAAGACCTCCAGGAAAGTCTCGGGCTCGTCCGCCCCGGGCACCGCATACTCGCCATTGATCATGAAGTAGGGGACCCCGGTGACCAACTGGCGCTGGGCAACATAGGCCTCGACGTCGACCTCCTTGCCGCCGTCCTCGGAGGCGAGGAACTTCTCGACGGCGGTCTTGTCCAAGCCCGCCCCGACCGCGGCCTCGGTCAATACGGCGGGATCGGTGATGTTCTTCTCATCCTCAAAATAGGCGCGGAACAGCTTTTCGACGACGCGGGTCTGCAATCCGCCGACCAAGCCCTTGTCCGTGGCGGTGCTGCTGCTGGCTTCGGCCTTCTCCTTCTGGCCGGCCCACCACAGCAGGCGGTGCGAGTCGCGGGTGTTGCCGGTGCGGCCGCCGAAACTGAAGTCGATGTCCTCGGTCTTGCCGACCGCGGTCAGCCGCTCGATGATGGCACTGGCCCGCTGCTGGCCGAACTTCTTGCGGAAGGACTCCCGCTTGTCGAGGCCCGGGTAGCCCGGCCCCTCCGGGTGCAGGTAGAAAGCGTGCCAGCTGAGGGTGAAGGTGTCGCTTGGGTGGGAGGTTTTGTGCTGGGCAATGGCCCGGCTGAGGCGTCGGTAGCCAACGTAGCACCACTGTAATTCTTTATTTTAGTAGCTGGGTTTGTTTGGTGATTGGGGGATGTTTTGGAGGTATATAACGACAGGGCCGTCGACTGACTTACCGGACACACCGTATCGGAGATGATCTGGATGTTGAAGTTGGTCATGATTTATTATGTTTTCTTTTGGTGTATTCAAGTGGACTGCTGAGAGCACCTCTGCGATGGATCGAAAAGTGCAAGCTACTATATAGGAGTGACAATTCGGGGAGTTTGTGGCTGGATGTCCCTCCGTCGTGGTGAGGATGAGTATGAGTTAGAAAAAAAGTCTCCAGATGGATTGAGTCCGATACACAACTCCAGTATCAACCAGCAGATCTATACCACGCTAACGGTAACAATGGTCAACCTGGCCAATTGGCAACTGTGGATGACTCCGTCCTGACTCTCTCGCTCTCGTTCTCTCGGGCCTTTTTCTCGGGCATTTGACATGCATTGATTGTTCTTATTTGTTGCTGGTAGTTCATTTCGTTCCGTTCGCTGGAACCGATTTGTCAGCAGATGCTCATGATTGTCTGCTCGGGGAGTTGGGCTTATAAATGCCCGATGCTGCCTGCGTCTGGGAGGGAGGAGTTAAATACAGACATATAGTCGTGAGTGTCATCCCAGTAGTGTACAGTACTGTGACTACACTACTTCGTCAATTGACATGTGTACTCGTACTAACAATCAACAATCGGGAGAAATCTCCCCCGCCAGTGACGTCAACTGACAGATCAAAATCTGGAGCGTTTGTTTATTCTATGTTACCTAGTATTCTTTTTTAACAATGTCCTTGCTTTTCAATGCTTTTGCTTTTCACCATGGATACCCTATTTGGAACATGACAGGAATAGCCTGTTCGCAGCCTTCGATGCGATGGTTAAGTACTCCGTAGTAACTACTCATCAGCTGACCGCCATCTCATACATCGCCCTGTTTCCATCAGATTTCCGGGTTTCTTCTCCCCTCCCCTCCCCTCTCTCCTTTCGCCATAGAATACTCTCTTAGGAATACAGTCTCTTAGAATTGGAACTTTTCCCTCCGCATTCAGTCTTCATGATCACGTCTTTCCTTCTCCGCTGTCACGACACCATCTGGTCCTTTCTGCATGTCACCATCCTCAACATCCCACCCTCTCGCCTGCCCATCTTCCCCTCCTTAGCAGGCTCAGTCTGGTTCCTGACCCTTGCCAGCCTACTGCTAACATGGCTGGCTCGAGGCATGCCCCAGTACCCAGGCCAAAGCAATCCACACGTCGCGTGCGTGCTGCCTCTACTTCGTACATCGGAAGAAAACGTCACAAGACTAATCAAGCGAAACCAACAGCTTCATTTCCGACATCGCCTCCTTCGAACTCAAGCCCCTTTTCCTGATCGGGGCTTCCATGACCGCCGTCGGGTTCTGGTTCACCGTAGCTGCTGTCCATGTCATGCGCTACGAGCCTGGCTTCGCATTGATCCGCTGCCCGGACCACTTCTCCTCTAGAGGTAGTCCGCAGCACGCGCCATCTCCAGATGGAGACCGACTACCAGCCTCAGTGACTCCGTACAACGGCCCTATTCATGACAACAACAACAACAATGATAATCCAGATGAGACTGACGACGACGATGTCAAAGACAACGAGTCACCCGCAACCACCGCCACCCTCAAACTCATCTCCCTCCTCGCCATCTTTTCCGCCGGCATGGCCAGCACCGCCCTCATCTTCCTGGCCGTCATGGATACCTTCCGGTACCACTTCGCGCACGCGGTCTCCCTCCGCGTCTGCTTCGGGGGCCTGGCCCTGCAGTCCTTCGGCACGGCGATCGTGTACTCGAACGAGGTGCTGGGGTTTGTGGCGTTCTTGACGCATGGCGGCGTGTGGCAGCCCAGATGGGGAGAGAGGCGCAAGGTCAGGGTACGCGTCTTGTAAGTTTTTCTCCTGCTCTTCCTTCCTTCCTTCCCTTTCTCTCCTCCTTCCTGCACCCATGTCTGCTCTAAATGGTGGAAAGGGTGACATGATGGATGGCGTCTTCTGGGCCTCGCTTGACAGCCAGCAGAGGCGCATAATGGCTAAACCCAGACGTTCTTGCATTGCAGTGCCTCCCTCTCCACCGCGTTGAATCTGGTGGAGCTCTTCCTCGGCATCGCTTTTATCTCACTCACCGTCCCCGAGAATGTAAGCGATTACCGGGCCGCCGGGATCCTGGAGTGGGTGATTGCGTTCCTGGGCACGGTGTATTTGTGGCTGTTTGTGGGGTTCTTTGATCGGTGCGTTCCCCCTCCTCCTTCAGATTAGACAATGGATTCCATGACAGAAGGCTAACACGATGATTTGTTGCAAAACAGAGAGAGCTTCGAGGGCTTGGTCCCGAGTGTGCTGTATGCGGCGGCCTCGAAGGGTCGACGGCTCCCTGCCTCGCCCTCCACGCCGCCGGGGGATCGCCGCGCACCCAATGACTCGGATGCCGAGCAGGCCCCGTTACTGTCGCGGGGGTCTACCACGAGCCGATATATGTGATTGCCCGTTAAATTATGATTGATGAGTTGCAGCTTAGCGATAGAGTTCGATTTCATTAGTTTCCCTTTTCTAAGACGACGTTGGAGTTCAGATACGTGTGTCCTCAGGCGAAAACATCATTCATTTTAATAGGACCTCTTTTCCCATGTTCCAATTCCTGGATGACTCCCAAAGAAACGCTATTTTCACATTTCCAAAGACATTCTACGAATACATCAAAGGCTGACATCCAGACACTCGTTTGCCTCTACTTCAAACAGGAGTTTGGGATCCCTGCAAACGCGACCATATACAAGCAGTCGAGAGTGGAGAGCCTCGTTACAAGGCTTGACCACCTTGATTGACCAGCTGCCACACGCTCGGCTTGTTGATGAACCCGGTAAGGTTGGCAGAAGGGGGAAGACCGGCTGGAGGTTGGCGGTCACGGATCTTCTCGAGGGTGGAGTTGTACTATATGATAGGTTAGCGGATGAACCCCTTGTCCACTCCAAGCGACCTGCCGCCTACCTTGAAGGCGAAGTTCAACACCAGAGCAACCGCCAATCCAATACAAACAACAATCGGTCCAAATGTGTTATCCAAATCCCGTCCACTCCGTTGTCGGATGAGCTTGGCCCGCTTCTCGTGCATGTACCACCCCCAGACGGCGGCAAAAATCGCAAAGGCCGTGTAGACAATTGATAACGCACGGGCGATATCATTGTGTTTCCCAGCTGCGTTGTACAGGCCCAGCGACAGCGATGACAGAAGAATGCTGATGTGGAGCCACTTGATGAAGGTACGTTGGTTGGCGAGCCAGACCTTGGTCTCGACACGGACAGGTCCAGAGTCCTTGATCCACGTGCCTGGTTCCCGAACGCCAGGAGGCAGCACGACTGAGTTCCGGGGACCACGGTTGTTCCGCGGGGCAGAGAAGGTCGGGAAGAGAGAGGCCAGGCGTTTCAGATTCATGGGATGTTCCGGCTGTTGGTCCTCGCGCTGGACTTGTTGGTTTTGCGGCTCCGGGTGCTCAGGTACGCGGGCTATTTCTGGAGCAGAAGGCCGCTGTGAGGGCGGTAGCATCTGCGACGACTGTCGACGGCGAGGGGAAGAGGATATGTCGGTGAACATCTGTACGGGTGATCCCACCAAAGGCCTCACTGTCAATGAACCTTTGTTGCCGAGGAAACTTCCGACTGCAATATCGTCTTCTGCTCGCTGCGCCCGCCGCTCCTGTTCTTCGTGGAAAGCGGTTTCTGGGTCTTTTCGAATGTCATTCTCCATCTCACCGAGCCAGAACGGAAAGCTGTTGACGTAGTCCTCGAAGAGCTGCGCCACACCATGGACAAACTTCGAGAACCGTGGCGCCTCCTTTACAAGGTGGGAGACCATGAGATCCTTGATCCATTCGGCACTGTGCGCTGCAGTGCCCTTGAGTTTGATTTCCAGGAGTGCGTAAGGGAAGCGAACGATTTCGCCGGTCCGGATGCTGCTGAACGGGTACTCCATTCCCGCATCATCAATGTCTGTGCGATGCCATTGATCGGGCTCACGGCAGGGACGACCTTCATCCAGAGAGTCCTCCCTGATTAGAGCCAGATTGGTATCGAGCGAGATTCGGATCCGATCATCTCCGGGGATTTGAAACGCCGTACGGGTATAATTAGCCCGAAGCATCGGCTGCAGGTTGTATTCCTTGATGAATGACTGCAGTTCCTCGATATCCTGCTTGAAGGACTCTGCTTGTTCCGATTCACCATTGCCCATGGTCTCCATCCGCTGAAGCTTTTTGTCAAAGTGGTACTCTCCGTCCAAGAATTCCTTCACGTGTTTTTGTTTGAGCTGAATCTTTACTTCTCGGCTGCGATTGTCGTCCGACACTATCTTTTTCTCCAAAAATATGGCTGGCTTGTCCTGCAGATTTCCAGTCCATCGCAGTCGTAAAGACCCGGCTTCGGCGGCGCGAGCGACCTTTTGGTTGTAAAGGTCGAACTGTCGGTTGTCAAAGTATAGAGAGGTGATTGTAGGGTCGTCAGGGAGGATATCGAGGTCCTTGGAGGTTCCAGGGTTATAGATAAGAACGGGAAGCTGCCGTAGAATGTAGGTCTTGGCCTCGAGGACGTTGTTGGGATGAATCCAGAACTTGAAGGAGGAATACATGTCTTGACCAAAGCGAGGTTCAGCTGGATCTTTGGCTTCAACCAAGCCCTTGCTCAGAATTTCACGGGCAAAGGAGTACATAACAGACAGTCTGCGAACTAGAGGAGAGTAGTCCTCGGTGTTGAATGGGAGTTGCGACAAACGCACTTGCAACAAGGGCTTCACACGATACCGTGCTCCACGCTTGCGGTCATGCTTCTTAGCCGCCTTAAGGAAGCCGGTGAAGTTAATTCGACTGTATTTCTCCAGCTCGCTGACCTCTCGAGTGATGCTGTCTAGCTCCTGTAGAACGCCTGACGCAATGCGCTTCTTTTCCGCGTCGTCCATTTCTGTGGCAGCCTCATCCTGGGCTGCATCAGTCAATTCTCGCAGCTTGGATTCGCAATCAGCAGTTCGTTCCCGCAGCTGCTTCAAGGTTTCGACTTGAAAGGCATTGACTTTGTCCAGTTGGACGTTCAGGAGCTCCTGGACAAATGCTTCCTCATCTTGTTCGGTCCATGGGGCATTATCGGAATCGCTATCGTTTCCGATGACATCATGCTCCCTCAGAAGGACCTTGAGCTTGTGATAATCAATATATTTTCCACTCCATGGAGGATAGATCGACTTCCGAAGGGTCTTGCCAAAGCGCATGGTCGAGCAGAATGCGGCGAAGCTTGGCAGTGGTTGGGAACGAGGACTGTGTAACGGAGGAAAAGCAAGAGGAGAAGCCGAGAGAGAGGGTTGCACAGGGACTCTCGGGAAGGGGAGAGGCACGTCTTATAAGGGAGGAGGGCAAATGCGGGTCGAGAAGAAGAGACCGTCAATGAGAATCAGCTCATGACAATGGAGAAGGGAAATTTTATTTTCAGACTTAAGACGGGACAGACGTAAGGAAAGAAGGGAAGCCGCTAAGAAATCGCCATCGAGTCGAGGCGGAAAATAGAGAGGGTTCTAATATAGTCTCGTTTGGTCTCTCGTTGCATCCCATCGCCATGTTGATGCACGTGCTGCCTCTCTGCCTCCCCGGAAGGGTCTAGCCCGTGCCCCGCTGTAGTGATTCAGCTGACCATTGGTCAAGTGGGTTTGGAGCTACGCCGCGGGCGTAGATACTAACTTACCTAGGAGGTGCTAGGTATCACTGGAGTCAGTATCCGTCCGTCACTGGAATACAGTACTGTATCTTTACATGTATACTGTAGTTCCTTTCGGTTTCGTAATGTATCATCTGCCACTAACACCAAGATCATTTCCACGATGTGTTCCGACCGATAAGAAACTCTTTCTTTCTCTTTCTTTTTCTGAATATCTTCCAGCCAGCATCTTTTTTTTTGTCGTGTGTATATACTTATACTAGACTATGCTGTAACTTTGCATCGCTTCTATTTCCTTCTAGACCGACCATCTCCTATTCCAATGGAGTCAGCCAGTTCCCCATCGTCACAGGACTCCGTACCCTTGACGCAATCGCTTCATGACGTGTTGTCCGGCCTCCATCAACGCCCGTACCCTCATGTCCCCAACCCTCCGAATTGCAAGAAACGTGCCTCGGTTGCCCTTATCCTGCGAGTCCGACCTACATATAAACACTGGCCAGAGTCTACCTCTACCTCTTCCGGGGAGACGGACAATTCAGCGTCTGTCCAGCAACGACTAGGCACATTCTTCTCCCAATCGTGGGTTCGCTATGGTCAACCAGAGGCGCTATTTATCAAGCGAGCCTCGCGCGTGGGAGACAGATGGACCGGTCATGTTGCTCTCCCGGGAGGCAAGCGAGACCCTGAAGATCCAGATGATAAAGCAGCGGCGGTTCGGGAAGCCTCAGAGGAGATTGGACTGGATCTAACCACGGAGGATTGTGTGTATATCGGCAACCTGCCCGAAAGAGTTGTAACGACGAGCCTGGGCACAATACCGTATGTACTTCGTCCGATATCGTACCTCGAGTGTGCCTGATACTGATCATGTCAATTGCAGGCTGATGGTCCTATGCCCCTACGTCTTCTTGTTAACATGCAGTGACTCACCGACATTGAAGCTACAACCCACCGAAGTGGCCTCAACCCATTGGGTGCCGCTAAAAGCGCTTTTGTCGTCTTCTTTACGCACTGTAGAGCACGTGGACATGACTCAACGCCTCGCAAACATGGGAGGCATCATGGCCCGGGTTGCGTCTCGTTCCTTGATGGGCTACATGCAGTTTCCCGCAATCCGACTGGCCCCAACTGAGAGCCTTCAAAGCAACACAACCCCCGGGCTCACCCCCAAAGATGAGCAAAGACAGTCGCTGTTCCGGCGGTTGACTTCATGGGGTAGAAGTAGTTCTGCTGACCAAGATATCGGAATAAGTCGCCCCTTGCTCCTCTGGGGATTGACGTTGGGAATTATGGCGGACTTCTTGGATCTGCTTCCTCCACACACAGCTGTCAAGCTTTGGCACTACCCCAACTTCACAGCCCCCGACTTACGACTGCTTATCAACCTGCTCACATATCGTCTGCGAAAACGCAATAGGCGCTTGGTTGAGAGCGGAGCTGAACCGAATAATACTGCGGTGGATGCTCAAACAGCGGCCGTGCCAGTAAAAGAGATCGATTGCAATGGCAGTAGCAGTCAAAACAATATTGGGATTGAAGGACTTGGTGTGGGTCAATACTACGGGCCTTCCGACAGGGGTCTGAACGGGAGCACATATGCGCTGGAAATAATGCTTCGAGGCTATTATGATCGGCTCCGACTAGCCCTTTACATTTTCGTAGCATGGAGGATAGCCCTGGGCTCCACGGCGGCCTTCTATGCATGGAAATTTCTTCGTCAGGCCCGCCGATGATGGCGATGGCGACGATGATGATGATGACCCTGCCATTATTCTGTGGACTGTATATCTATCGATTCTGAGTTGAACATACAGTAGTATAAATGACTTTCTACAGCAAACCTCATCCGCATTCCTCCAGAAGCAAGGGGGAAGCAGCAGCAAAGAGTCACACTAGCAGTTGCTGTTTCTGGACGGTACGGAGTAGTCGCTCTCGATTACATGATCTAGTAAGACGGAACTGTATTGTTATGTATGAACAGACGTACTGTAAGTCACACGGAGACTGCCCCGGTTCGAGCACCTTAGTTTTCTCGTAGCGGTAAACAATTATTCTCGTCCGCGTTAGCTTGTCATGCTTATCGTCCCGGAAGCTCGCCGGTGTCACTCAAGCGGCTGTTGATTCTTTATCGGCACTGATCCACTCGCGTCATTGCTTCTGATCTTCCTTCCAGCTTCTAACCACTCCCCTCCCCGAACCTATTGCCCTGGCTCATTCGCCCCAAATGGCAGCAACGCAGAAGCTTTATCCTCGCGCCACGGTGAAGCGTGTCGTTAAAGCGCATTCGAATCGTAACGTGAGCAAGAACGCTGATATCTTGGTTGGTCTCCTAATTCCGCCCCCCTTATTGCGACTTCGCACAGAGTCTAACGGCTTTTTCCACGTTTCAGATCTTCCTGGATTATATGTTGTTCATGCAAGAGTAAGTCGAGTCGACTATGATCTAATTATCTCCACCACATGATTCTCAAAACATGGCGCATGTTGAGGGGGAATCAAGGCATGGCTCACAGCTGAAACCTGGATGTCTATGCAGATTGATGCGGGAATCATCGATTCAGTCGCGGAAGGTGGGAGAGAAGAACATATCGCCGAATTCAGTGCGCAAAGTGACCGAGGTATGTTTGCCTGGTGCAGCGATGCAAGTATGCATTATTCCCGTCGAGGCTGACATCTTGTCTGTTAAACCTACAGAAAACGCTACGGAAGTTCAAGGGCTAGATTGATGGCAGAGCAAAGCTGCCTTGAATACAAAATCGCACCATTGCCAGCGCGCGACCGGAGCATATCTCTGATCAGCTCTGTGGGGGTTGTGCTACATGGGTGGTTGTTGAGCTTGGCCTAGATTCACGATCCACTCTCTTGGGACCGTGACTGCTCGTCCATGCCTCTAGTGAATTTTATTGTTATGGAGAGAGGAATGGGCTCACAAAGTCCAGGCGATTCGGGTTTATATAGGCGTTATTCAGGAGTCACTCGGTTGATACCCAATGCATGGATTGTTCTACATCAGGAAGACCTCTGTATAAGACGAAACTGCAATAGATCTGAAATAATTTCTCATAGGTAGAGTACGCGCCTCCATCGTGTAAGATTCTTCGCATATGCAGCGTAGTGTGCCAGCTGTTGCAATGGTTGTTTGGGTCGCAAGACGTGTTGGGGCTGAACCAGTGACTGGAGCTGCAGCAGCACGCGACGAGGGCGGTTCGGAAGAGTTCCACCCGCATCTGCCAGCTGCTTTTCCCAATTCAATCCCCATCCCCATCATCTCAGTCTTCCCTTTCTGCTTCAACTGTTTCCGCCTTCTTCTCACTTCCACCTCAACAAATCCCTCCTCCTGTCCCCAATTGTGCGCATATATCTTTGCGCTACTGTACAAGACTTTCACACTGTTTTTACTACTCTTCGCATAGCTTTTATTCTACATCGTCTGCTTAGGCGCTAGACCACTTCCTCCGAGTCATCACCGCACCAAACCAGCAACATGGCTGCCGCTTCTGTCAACTCCAGCCCTGCTCAACACTCCGAAACTTCTTCCAAGAAAGCAAAGTCGAATCATGCTTCTAGCCCTTCTATTGTCTCGAAGCCTGACACGAACGGCTTGGACAATCTAGACAACCAACACTTCAAGGAATTGCAGAGGTGCGTCTTCAGCGACAAGCACTCCGCGCATTCGCAATGCCGTATCATGGAGCTCTGGAGTCAAATCACTTACTAGATTCGCTGCAACAGAAGCTTGCGCAATGCTGTCAAGAAGCTGGTTAGTGCCCTTGCGTAGAGCTTTCACCCCCACTCACCGCTTACACTGGCCTCGTCCTACAGAATGCGACCGCCAAAGTCGACACCATCATTGCAGAGAACCCCGGCAAATCCTTGGATGAGCTTGTTGTTGAGAAGAAGATCAATGCCGACCAGAAGGCACAGGCTCTGAAGAAGCCCTCTCTACAAGCCACCGTTGCCCAGATTGAGGAGCAGATTTCCCACCTCAAGGAATTCGCTGCCTATTACGAGGAACGCTTGGCTACCCAGAAGGCGGAGCTAGAGCAAGCTCACGAGGAGCAGCTCGCAGCTCTGCGGGAGCAGGCTGATGCGGATGCCGCTGAAGCCAGCAAGAAGGATTTCAGCCAACAGCTATTAAACCTCAGCAAGTTCCTCTGCGCCGCGGCCACTATGAGACGTTCCGGAGACGAATCTTCGAACGAGAGCCGTGCATTCGAAGGTGTTCTATACCAGATTTACGGAGGAACTCAGGATGCTGTGTCTTCGATGCTCAAGATCATCGAGGGCGCGGATGACAAGGTCGTCGGTGTTGACGGCACCGCGCTGGAGATCACCTGTGAGTACTGATGCTTTTGTGTCTCAAGTAGTCGCTGCTAATTGCCTCGGGTCATAAGATGGTAAGGTGAAGCAGATCGCTACTGAGCTTGCTCCTGCTTCCGAACCTGCAACTACCGAGGCAGCTCCTGAGTCGGACCCTACTGTGGCCAATGCAGGCTACACTGAGTTGCAAGACTCATCCTACGACTCCAGTGCTGCCGCTGCGACTGAGCCTGCCGCGGAAGAGCAAACCGAACAGGTTGCCCCTCCTGCTCAGACTCTGACTACCGACGGCGCCAATCAAGTGGCTGAGGCTAGCTGGGATGCCAATGCGACTGAAGCTGTGGAAACTTCGCCTACCGCTGAAGAATGGGTCGAGGTGCCACGGGACCCTGCTGAAACCGAGACTGGACTTGAAGCTACTCCTGCCGCTGCTGAGGCCGAGGTGAAAGCCGACACAGCTGTGACTGAGACTACTGCGCCCAGCACCGAGGATGTTACTGTTCCTAAGCCCCAGGACGGCTTCGAAGCCGTCTCGCACCATCAGCGCCAGCCTAGCCGTGGTAGAGGCCGGGGTGGCCGGGGCCGTGGTTTCCGGGGCCGTGGCGGTCGTGGCGGTCGTGGAGGTCGCGGACGCGGTGGTGCCAATGGCTCCTCCGCGGCCCCTGCTCCCAGCCAGTAGAAGCCGCTTATAGGGAGTTGATAAGCTGCTGTCTGATTAAAGCAACGTGCGTCTCCGCGAGAGGCATTTGCTTTCAGTCGATTTGACTCCGACGCCAGCATCAATCTGCCTGGCCCTTCATCGAGCCTCTCTGACCTCGCTTTCTCAAGTCTTCTCTTGCCTCAGCCCGGTGTCCTTTTCTCTAATCTCTCTGAAATACTAATAAACTCAATGGGTAACGGGAGTGTCATGGTTCACGAACGCAATGACTCTTGAAATGATTTACAACAAGGTTTCTTTAGAGTGAAGATAATAGCAGGGTGTCACTACTCCGCCGTTCTCTTCATTCTGCTTTTCTTTTGGATCTTGTCCCCAAAAGTTCCTGTTGTATATGTTTGCAGTTATTGAGCGTGCATATTGATTTCTGCAATTTTCTCCCCTTTGATATTTCTTCTATCTCGGCTGTGCATTCCGCTCCGATGTGGCCTTTTCTTTCTGCAGGTGGCGATGGTGCTTTCTGCACTGCCCCTGCATTCTACTTCACATGTATTCTATTTCCGATCATCATGTTGACATATGGAGATGGAGGTTTGGACGGGTTGCGGTGGAGAGGGGTGAGAATTATCTTGGCTGTTGACAGCCAAGGGCGGAGCATGATCAGAAGCTTTCAACGATGTGACAGGTAGATGATGAAAGCAGATGTTTTCCTCTCCGGAAGTTCTAGGTTCATTTTACGTGTAGAGAAAGCAAGATGATAAGCTGGAGAAGTGTAAGAGCTCCGACGGAGCTGTCTGAAAGAGGTAATGCCGCGGGTAGGGCATAGGGCTATGACATAACGGGGGGAGAGGCCATCTTGACTCTCCTTCCATCTACTTTTGCATCAGACAACCCTTCGACTGTCCAGTCACCTGCACTCTTTTCTTTCTTTCTCTTCCGTTCTTTTTCCTCTAGTGTTGCTAGTCGAATTCCTTGTTCTCTTATTCTCTTATTCGTATTTCCTGCCCGAAAACTTTCTCAATTGACCGTCATGGCGTTACCCGCAGAGCAGCGGAAGAAGATCCTCAAGGTCTTGATGACCTCGCTACTCTTGGATTTGGTATGCGCCCCAGTTCGCCGGCTAAAGCAAGACAAACACTGATACTCCTACACTAGATATCCTTTACTTTCATTCTACCACTCTTCCCTTCCCTACTTACCTTCTACCGCAATCAAGATCCGTCTCCCAACTCGCTCCTCAACCGCTTGTTCCACTATCTGAACGCCTATAAGAACTCATTTGCGAAACCCATCGATTCACGCTATGACATAGTTCTTCTGGGCGGCGCACTTGGCTCGCTGTTTTCTTTCTTGCAGGCACTTGCAGCGCCATTCATTGGCCGTCTGTCAGATAAACACGGCCGCAAGACCGCTCTCCTCTGCTCTATGGTCGGTAACACCCTTAGCGTAGCTCTTTGGGTTACCGCGACAGACTTCCGAACTTTCCTCGCTAGTCGCATTGTCGGTGGCCTCAGTGAGGGCAACGTGCAGCTCGCAAATGCTATTGCCACTGATATCAGCGACCCCAGCCAGCGTGGCTCAACCATGGCCCTTGTTGGCGTCTGTTTCAGTATCGCCTTTACTTTCGGGCCCGCGCTCGGCGCAGCCCTCTCCAACATCACCACCGTTGCCGCCAATCCCTTTGCGACGGCCGCGGGCGTTTCGCTTCTCTTGATCGTCGTTGAAACCGCCTATCTGTACTTCTGTCTCCCGGAGACCCATCCTCATTTCACCAAGCTGGTTCATGCCCTCAACACGAACAACACCAAGAACAACAACAACAATAACGAAGCCCAACCATCCACCACGCCAGCCCATTCCGCGGAGCCTCAGGAACACACAAACAACCCCGCGCTCCTCAATCTGATCCATTTGCTATTCCTCCTCCCTTTCTCGGGCCTCGAATTCTCCCTCCCCTTCCTGACTGCCACTTTCTACGCGGGAAGTAAATCCAGCCCCTCCGCCCTCAACGGCCGTCTGCTCTCCATGATGGGCCTGATTGCCTCCCTCCTCCAGGGCACCGTGGTGCGCCGCCTGCCTCCGCTCAAAACCGTGCGCATCGGCGTCATCGCATGCGCGATCTCTTTCTTTATGCTTGCGCACGTCTCCTCGCTGGGAGGCCTCTACGCTGCGGGCGGGCTATTAGCTATTACCAGTGCGACGGTCGTCACCGGGCTAAACAGCTTGGGGAGCTTCGAGGCCCAAGAGGAGAATCGTGGTGCCGTGTTAGGGAAGTTGCGGAGTTGGGGACAGGTTGGACGCGCGGCCGGACCGCTGTTGTTCTGTTCCTTGTTCTGGTGGATGGGCCGGGAGGTGGCCTACACGGTTGGCGGATGTGCCATGTTGGTGGTCTGTGGAGGGGTGTTTGTTTTGCTGAGGGAGCCGGTCGTTGGTGGACAGAAGGAGTCCAAGAAGAAGAATTAGACCCCATACCTGTTTTCTTTTGAACTGCGACGCTGCGTCAGGCTCTATGGTCGGAGACGATTCGTCACTCCATGCATTATTCGTGGGTTCCTGCACAGCTGCTGTCGTCATGTCTGATGTGAGGTTGGATAGATTTATATGGACATATTGCATCATCACTGGCTGGCCCAGTGCTTCCCACTCGGCTGGATAGCGCCGAGTTGCTTGCTGATACACCAAACTTGAGTCATTATTCATTACCTATGTAGCATAATTTACATGTTCGAAGACTTGTACAGTAAAATGGGAGATGAGATAGGTCAAACATCGAACCCGGATAAGCTCAGACAACAGCCGTCCAAATATCCATCAGGTCCCGCGCGGTGGGGGGAGGCTTTCTTCTTTACGAAGAAGATAGAAAGAAGCGCACCCGGCTAACTCCCTTTTCCGCGAACGTCACGGGAGTCAATCCTCCTGAAATAAACGCGCCGTAGCAGATGCCAAACCACAACAGCAGCAAACGTTACAATCAGCTTCAATAGACAATCAGGCATGACCGCCTAACTGATACCGCTTCTCACGCCCATGGAAGCCCCTCGCGCGCGTGAAGAAGCTGTCCCTCGGAGTCGAGTGGTAGCCCTGGAAGGCCAGGCCCGGCTCCGCCGGCGAGGGGTCCAGCGACTCCCTGGCCTTCCCAATCAACCAGTCGGCCAACGTGACGAACTTCGGGGTCCGTTCCCATCCACATGCATCGTCAGCGTGTTCGATCGTATGCGACGCAATGCGACCCTCTTCGTCGAATGAGAAGATGAACAGCCCCGTGAACTGTTCCTCCTTGGAGAGTTTGAAGATCGGCGCATCCCCGCCCAGCAGCACGCTGAGGCCCTTGTTGGTTCCGGTTTGCGAAGGGCCGGTCCCCGGGGCCGGCGACGAGGAAGCGGAGGCGGTGGTGGTGGTGGTGGGACGCGGGTTGGCGGTGAAGGAGGGTTGCTGTTGCTGCCCGTGATGATGATTTTCGCTGCGCGGTTCGGTCCGCCACCGCACGACTAGGCGCTCGTCGCTGTCGTCTGGTTGTTCCCCGCTGGCATAGCGGGCCGGGTCCAGCACCGTGCCGGCGCGGACGATGCGCTCGCTGATGATCTTGAGTTTGACGTTGCCGAGGAGGGGCAGGCTGCTCCAGGCAACGGGCACAGTCCACAGTGCGGCTCGGTAGAGGGTTCGCCCTTTAACAGTGGGGAGATGAGGGTGCGTCGACGGAAAGAGGTGCAAGGTTATGCTCGGGGAGAGTATCTTAGGTGGCAGAGGATTGGTGAGGATGTTTGGGAGGAGAGGTGAGAGGATTCGAAGCGCTGGCCGGACGGCCTTGAGTCAGCACGTTTTTCTTTTCTGGTATTCCAGTACTAGACCTCTGCACGAAGCTTACTTTTCCCGAGCTTGAGAATGCGCTCGTCCGGTTGTTCATGATCCCCCCGCGGCCGCTCGAGTCCGTCGAAAGCGGACGGTTGGAATCCAGTTTGCGAGAATTGGGGTTGCGACGCAGGCGTCAACGAGGGTCCACGAAGAACCTCATGCTGAGCTGAGAGCCGTGGAGTCGAAGAAAGATAGAACTGATGTGGAGGAGAAACACGAGGACTAAGAATGGAGCTCGAACAATTGATGGGATGTGTTCCTCGTCGGCTTCGCGCGCAAGGAAGCGCACGGCCAGTAAGCGTCGGCATCACGGAGTCTTAGAAGAGGTGGACGGGACTCTCATCCAGGAAGCCTTTGTCGGAAGATCATCACATGCATTTCCAAGCAAAGTCAAGTCATAGAGGGTCAGATAGATATGATCAAGATGGTTAAGTTGGCTGGCAACATGGAAAGGTGAAGAAAGAGTCCCGTCGAAGATGGAGATGATTCGGCCGGAAATAGCTGTGATTGGTGCTTCGGCTATGACGTCGGCCCGTCAATCGATCAGGATTGTGGCCTGAGGCCACAAGGCATGAGGAAGGCAGGAAGGCAGGAAGGTATGAAGGCCAAAATATGTGCGCATGCATTGGTGGTATCTATCATAATGATTATAGTGCGGTCATACCCTTGAAAAAGGGCATGTCTCCCTTTACATTCTCTCGTCATCCTCCCCAAGATATCGCCTTTCGGCCAATTCTCGGATCTTGTCTTGCAGGACGCCTCGGCCATAGCGTTCAGCCACCTTGACGGCCGCCTCCACCATCTTGCCGTTGCGGTCCCTCATCATCTGTACCAGTTCCAACGCCTTCATACCTCGCTCCTCGCCCTCTCGGCACTCCACTGCTAGAAGTTGCAGCAGTATCTTATCCACCTCAACTTCCTTCCGAGCCAGCTCGGCGCGCTGACTTGCCGTGGCGTTAGTGGTAGACACCAGGTCTTCAAAGAGTGACAGCAAGATGTTTCCTCGGACAAAAGCTTCTTCAAACCGAGCTCCATCATGTCGAATCGAGCCACTGTCCTCGTCGTCTTCGGCTCCCTTGCCCGGTGTGTCGGAAATCGGGATGCGGAAGTCGAATTCGCTCAACAGCGGCCGCGGGAAGTACGGATACTTATCACCTCCCTTGAGAATGATGCAGTGGAACTTGTCCTGAGCCACAGCAACGGGCCAGTAGGTCTCCTCTTTCCGTCCGCTGGCTAATCGCTCTAGCTGCTTCGTGTCTAGCAGCGGTACCCACCGAGCCTGGCCATTGTTGCGCCAATGCTGAAGGACAAGCAACACGCCTTCGGAGTCATAAATGCATGGGTCCTGTAGCTCCAAGTCAGTATGTAAGTCCGGCATGGCAGGCTGGAGCAACCAACCCCATTATCAGAAAAGAAGACACTTTGCAACTCGGTATCTTCAGGCAGGGCGACAACGTCCTCATTTTGACAAATCTCGTCCCGCTTGACGTTCTCTACCGAGTATCGTAGTGTTGCTGTTCGGCCATCGCTGCTCAGTGGACCGTTGCCCACAGTCATGATATAGTCTCGCCATGCAGCACAAGTGACGGCAGGGCTCTTCTGCCGGTAAACTTTGAACGGGGTGCCGAATAATGTGTAGACACGAACGTAGTCTTTGGTCGTTACAGCAACAATGTAGGATTCACTGAGCGCCAGCGCTGTCGAGGCGAGTTAGCAAGGCCTGCAAACCAGATTCTCGAGTTCCTTACCCCGTATGAATTCGCCCTTTGGAAGCTGCGTCCGCCAATCTGCACGGGTTGTCCATGTCTCGTGAGGGCGATAGAAGATCGTCGCTGGACTGCCATCCGTGGGGTTATTGGAGAACAAAGTTCCATTGTCATCTAGGTCTTGTTAGTCCAGGGCTCGACCCATGTGTGTTTGCTCTCAACCTACTCAGACAAGCCCGATCGTAAAGGTATGGATCCGTGAAGTGGAAATCACGGTGAAGCTCGCGGTCGTAAAATTCCACTGTGATAGTGTTATGGGTTTCTTGGTCGACCGTCCAGACACAACCGGTCAGGTTCAAACCTTCAACAGTTAGCGTTCGATCACAAGGGGTATTCTATGATCAGATCCAAAGCACATACAGAGGTAACGTCTATTGCCACGCCAGGGTGTGCTTCCTGGTTGGAGAGGAGGGTGAATCTTCGGCTTGGCAAAGGCCGTCAAAACTCGCTTGTCGGTATGGCCATCGATCTCATCCGTGTGTGAGCCAACTCGCTTGCCGAACCCATTGATGTCCTCCGCGTAGCCAGCCCCGTCATCATCCTCGACGAAATCATCCATGCCGACATCGCCATTGAGGATCTCATCGAGAGAGTCAAGGCTCCCGGCTCTTTGCCTCCGTTCGATGGTCTCCTTCGGGCGGTTCGCCAATGGCCGTCTTACATTATCAGAGATTTCTGTCAAGGCCCCAGAGAAGATAGGTGCGGCCTGTAGTGGCTTCTCAAGCAGTGGCTGATGCTCCTTGGAAACGAAATCATCGTAGATAAACAATTCTCCGTCAGACGTTGTGAATGAGACCGAGTTTTTCGTTGGATGCCAGGCAAGGTTTATCACGTTCGCAAAATCGTAGCGTTGTAATACCTTCTGCGTCCTTGTCTCCCATAGCAGGATCTGACCATCCGCGCCAGCAGTCGCAAGAAGCGCTCCATTAGGTGACCAAGCGAGCGCCGTAATCTGTCCATTATGACCGCCAGCAAACACCTTCTCCTTCTTCCACTCGCCCGTGGAAAAGATCGCAATATCCCGGGTCGCTTCGGCGGATGCAAACGCCGTTCCGTCAGGATGCCAGACAATCCGGGATGTGGCCTCAACCTCCGGCTCAAGTCGCCTAATCACCCCGTCCAGCTTCTGCACCAATTCGGGTTCGTCCGAAAGTGTCGAGTAGATGTAAAGGATACCATCCGTACAGGAGACCGTAACGTATCGGCCACTCGGGTCGAAAGTGACGTGCTTGGCGCCTTTCGACTGTTCCCGTAGATACTTGACTTTAGTCATGTCCTCAATATTGACAATCTTCACTGTAAGCTCACTAAGAGGCAAAAATGTTAGCCAGCCCACTATACCACGCATATAGGGAGTACAGATCTGACTTACTCGCTCGCTACCGCGGCCCACTCGCCATCTCTTGAGATTGCGATATCCCGTACTGGAAGCATGCATCGTACCAATAGCTTCACCATCTTGCCTGACTGAATCTCGTATTGCCAAACTGTGCCGTCTTCTGCGCCCATAATGAAAGATTCATTCTGCACTTGATTAGTCTTCGACCAGGCAATTCGAAGAGGGAAGCATACAGTAGCACCGATACCCAGATGCCCGTCGACGCCCTCGTCCACCGTCTTCGGCTCGCCATCTTGTCCCACGGTGTAGATACGAATTGCGGAGTTCGAACCGCCAGTAATCACACGCCGGCCATCAGGCGTATATGCGAGTACTGTAGTGCCCGGGGTATCTGCGTTGTTTGATGCGCGTCAGCCTTCAATTCAGGTAGACAAGAGCAACAAGTGAGGTGTGGTGATCAGTTGCGAGACTCACGGGCGGGTCTGCCCCTAGGGCGCATCGCTTCAGAGGACATGATGATGTGGCCCCGGGCTTTGTCTTTGGTAGAGTCGCCGGATACCCGAGAAAAGGAAAGGTAGAAATATAGAGAACCAAGTCAGTATAGCTCCTTTCAAGGTACTGAGCTCAGTCAATTGTCGTTTGCAGCCTGTGATCGCGTATGTCCATGCAGCCGCGGCGAAACCACGGAGTACCCGGGGACGTGCTTTCGGGGCACACGCGTTCGACGCGTCTAACGTTATCGTCCCAAGTACTTTTGCCTTATCTGTCCCATAATCAGGGCTTAGGGCACGCTTTCAGAGCTGCCCCTCTGGATCATTTATCATTCAATTCGACAAGCCATTCATACATCGTAGCTCGTCTAGTATTGACTATACGAAAACCATGGTCCTCCACAAAGTCATCGGATTTGAGACCCAGCGACCACAAAGAACTCGGAGCCTTCGCGGACCGAGACTTCCTGACACTGGTTCACCTGCCTGTTTTTCTACTTGAATGCCCGCTTGCAGCTCCTCCGGGAAAGAATCTCGATCTTATTGCTACGATGTTGCAAGCTGTCCCAACGGGTTAGGGTCGATAGCATATCATGAATAACTTCTCGAATTTTGGTATATACAAACAACCATAAATCAAACACCGTGTATATGCAAGGACAAATGTGAACTCAGTCCTTTTTGATTAGATGCGTTGCCGCATTCGTACCCTGATATCAGTCTTCGGCAAGAAAGCTGCAGCGGATGGTCTATGCTCTGGTATGGCAAAATCGTTGCCCTGGGCGGGTTCAACGTCCCACAAGGCGATGATCGCGGCAGAGAAAGCCAGAAGTTTTCGTTCTGCAAAAGCGCGACCTTTACACCCCGACACACCCCCGCCAAACGGTTTGATGACGTCCATACTTGCTTTCTTCTCGCCAGTGTCTGGGTCGGTCGTGACAAACCTCAGTGGATCAAACTGGCTAGGATTAGAGAAATATCGGTGGTCATTGTGGATGACGGCGTGAGGGATGACAATAGCATCACCCTTCTTGAATTTGTACGAACGAGGCTGCGATAACCCATCCAGAGCTGCATCTTCTTCGGATTCAGTCACAGTGAAGTCTGATGTGACATTTCGAAATGATAAAGATGCAGAGTCCAGGCGCAAAGTCTCATAAAAGCTAGCCTTCAGGAGAAGGCATGATTTGATGAGGCCTTCTGTATCGATGGACATGCGAGGAGGCTCGTCGAATGGAAGGCCAGTTTCTTCCCTGCTCGGTCGGGTAATCTTGATGAATGGAGTGATTTCTTGACGAATCTCACCCAGGAGAGCACTGTCGGCATATATGCGAAGGAGATGCCAGAAGACCACGTTGGGAGAGTTTGAGTTCATGGCCCAGAGCAGAGACAGATGTGCAGGAGCGCTTGATCTGGCAGAAAGTCCTAGGCTTTTGCACTTCCGTATCCGTTCCCTTAGAGGCTCTGAGATATCATCCAGGTCTCTGAAATCGGCGCCAGGATCCAGGCCATCGTCCCACGCCAAGAATGCTTTATGAAATTCCGTCAGAACTTCCAACAGCCGGTCACGGGCAGTATGCGCTGCAGATATGCCGGGATGTGATAGCCGAGGAAGGCCCGTGGCTACGGCAAGAAAATGATTGTCAAGGGTGAAGACGTCAGGAAGCAGGGTTGGGTTGGCTTCCAAAATGCTCTCTCCTGTGAAAATAGCCGTTGTGATATGGCCAACGAAATGACGAATCAGGGCGAAGAAGTTGACCTCGCAGACCAGAATGTCATCCTGTCCAACCACCAGTGCCTGACTGCCGCGTTCCCATTGCATCTGATCGACTATGCTCCGGCAATTCGTGACCAAATTAGGGGTCTGGCGTTCAATCAAGCGGGTAGCAGTCCGTGTACCTTCCGTGAGGAAGGGTTCACGCATGAGCAGATTTGGCACACTGTGACTGAGCGCATGGTGGTCTGCAGGGCTCAGACTACGGAGCGCACCACGGTCACCGAAGACTGTCCGTAGGGCATAGTTCATTAAATCGGCCGAGGAGATGCCTCGTGCTGTAAACACAGCTTTGACTAATGAAGGGGCGACAATAGTGATGTGATTCGTGCCGCCCATATAAATACCGAAGACAGGCTCGTTCATAGATTCCCTGAGAATGGGATGTTAGTTAAGATTCAAGGTCATTCGGCAAAGGTGGTGCACAGGAGAACAAACCTGGCATTCCCAATCAGCTTCACATGGTCCCGGGCGAAGGATATACCATGGCCTATCCAAGGGAGCCAGTAAGGCACCATCCGAACCGAGCGTGTCGGTCCCGCCTCGGTTCCACTACCGAGGCGACTTTGCAGTCCGCTGATGAGGCGAGTCGCCACGCAAACGGACACCAGGAGAGCCACCCACGTAGGCCACCCCACGCTATTGAAGCCATCGCGTGCCAGGCGAATAAGCCCCCCGGGGACTAAATCGTATCCTTCCATTTCCCAAGCACAAGGGCGGATGCCCCTCAAGAAAAGTGCTGGTGCAGACCGGGACAGGGGTTGAATAGATCGACCGTCCACCACGATGGTCATACAATGCGCAAAACCAGAAGAATAGCTGAACCTCTCAAAACAATATCAGACCTCATATGAAGCATAAACGAAGAGGGAACCTTGCAATCTGGCGCTGTTTCAGAGCGCGGAGATTTATGCAAAGAAGTAGTAGGTTGACTCGCAGATGCAGTTGGGCTACAATACGGTAAAATTACCGTTGCTTATCTCAGCAGAACTCCCCTTCCTGCCTTGTTTTCGGGGCGATAACACATCTGCTACCTAGTATTCTCCAAGGCTAAACCAACAACTGGTTGACTCGACGGCTAAAAGCTGATCCATCAAATCCGAATCGGAGCTCGACTTGGTCTGAGGCATTTCAGATTAAGTCTCAACAAGGATGCATCTTCCTGCGATCTTTTCACTGTGCGATAGGTCTACGGAGGCTTGCGGCCAAAAGTAGACTTGACAGATCATTCCCTGTTCATTACATTCGAAATTATGTACACTACATATCAATGCAATCATAACGCAGGCCGATTTTCCACTGCACCTGTTCAATGTTCCCGCCGCAGAATCTTCTGCAAGGTTGCGCTCTCTGCCTCATACCTGCTTACCTTGTTTTGTGAGCTATAAACCTTACCTAGGAGCCACTTAATACGGCTGGCGAGCTCCCAAGGTTGCTTGGGCAGCGTTCCTAGAAGTTGCAACTCCTCCTCGTACTTGCTTATACTTTTGTTCTCGACACTAATGAGCTGTTTGAGAATTTCGAGATCTAGGCGGCTGCTCAAGGTCTTGTTCTCGGTGAGACGCTTGAAAACGGCCCGGTACACAGGCTTGCCAGGCTTGACCACATCGGGGCAACCATTGACTGAGTTGATAGAAATCAACTCCGCCTGCTCAAGAGCACGCAAGGATGCTTCACCGTTGTCCTTGAAGAGGTCGGATAGCAGGATCTGGTTGTAAGGTAGTGCCGCATCCTTAGCGTTGGCAAGTGTTTTGATTAGGTGCCATGCCTGTTCCTGTGTCCACGGCTTTGAGGTTGTGTCACTCCCCAAGATGAACATCTTCAAGATCTCGGAGGCTGACTGTTCGATTATGCGGGTGACGGCAGCTGATTGTATGTGTTAATTGCTGACCTCCTTCATGCATTGGCAGCCTGACTTACCTAAAGGGGTTTCTCCAGCTTCAATCCGCCGCGCCATGAACTCAAGGTCAGTGACCCGGCCTCCCAGTACCTGTATACAGCTGTCCAAGTCTGACAGGTTACCGAGGTCGAGAGTCTGTTTCGTGCCAGTCTTTGATTCGTATTCCAAATGACTGAGCACAAACTTCCTTCCTACCTCCGGTGAACAGTCGCCCAAGGAAATGGTCCGGAACACGGAGTTGGGTAGAGCTTTGCTCAATGGCTTGGAGAAGGAGACGTCTGTGGTGAGAAAGATGACGTGCGCTATATTCCCAGTGGTCAAACCAGCGGCCCATTCGGTGAGTTTGTCATAGACGACACTGTCCTCGGAGAAGTTGTGCAGGAAATTATCGATAACCACCACGGGCCTCTGCTCTGGATGAGCCTCAAGGTATTCCTCATCACTTAGATGGGCTTCTTTTTCATCGTTCTTCTTGTTCTCCAATGCAACTTTCTTGAGGGCAGTGGCAGTATTTTGCCAGATCTTGCTGAGCTGAGCATCCAAGGTCTCTGAAAACCCGGCTTTCGTGCCAATCATACCTTGAGCGGCCAGATCGATAAAGCTGCTCATGCTGTTCATCCAGGAGAAGACCGGTCGGTATCCTACTTGGCTAGCAGCACGAGAAATCTTTGCCGTGTCACCTTTTGCATCCTGAATTTGCTTACAATCGATGACAACCTTGTACCTGTAGTTTTCCAGGGCGCGATCCAGAACAAGCTCTCGCTTTCCGGTGCCGCGAGGTCCGTGAATGACGATGAACGTCTCAGCGTTCTCCATCAGCCACGACTGTAGCTGAGCGATATCACCTTGACGATCTTCCCAGATAGCCGTGAGCCGGCGCGGATCAGATCCGCGGCGGCCGAAATAAATGATATTGGCTTTGTTCACCTGGTTTCTGATCCACCGCAAGATGCTGTTTTCTTCTTTTTGCAAGGTCGCTTTGATCTTCATCTCAATGAAGAACGTTCGGATTGGGTCAAAAACAGTTACTGTGATGGCTGCGATGAGGGCGGCAATAATGGGAATTACAATCCTTGGATGGTTCAAGAGCCAGTCCTTGATCATGGACAACTTGATGTTGGCTTCATACTTGATCTTGATCCGGGTGCCGGACTTTCCACCACCCTCATGCTCCGGAATGGTGAAGCCGTGCACGCAGTTCTTAGCCATGACGGCGTTCCTCGCGCGGGAGAACACAATGAAAGCATATCTGGGCGTGACTTTGGAATCGGACGGCTGCCTTTCGATGTCTTTTAACTTGCCGTACCGGCGAAACACACTGTACAGAGCCTCGGTGGTCGGCTCTCCTGCTGTCCCATCAGAGGAAGCAGGCAGGAATTCCACTCTCAGCCGTGGGGTGGGAATGCGGTATAGGTCCTCAATCCAGGGCCTGCCATGGACATGGGCCACGTTGACCTCCTGAAACGGATTGAACCATGGCCTGATAGGGTGTTCTTTGAGGTGATTCTGTATCGCGGTCACGATGTCCAAGTCCTTGAGTCCATCCTTGCGGTTATACTTCACAAAGGCGCCGCCTTCTCTGAAACGGGGGATAACCTCCCGAATATCGATGTCCAATGTTTGAGGAAAGACGCGACGTATTATGTGTAAAGGATCAGAAGCCGCTAGGTGTGGTCTGTCGATACGCTTCAATACTTGTTCGTATGACCGACCACCGCTAAGAGGTCCTTGTAGCAGCCATTGTAACCGCGAAGGAAAGATATCTGTATAATGAGTGCATCAGCATGGAGTGGTGTTAGTTTGAGACTTGGAAGTCAATATATCATACTGTTCACGAAAATAAGCCCTTCACCGTCCTTCACTTCAATATGACCTGTTTCGACAGTGCTAATATGAGAAGAGCTACTGTTCAGTCTGGCGAGGATCCCTTTTGAGGAGGGAATGGAGAGCCCACTGGGACGCACATGGGCTCGGTAATACCATGGCCTCACGATATGCACTGGAGCTCGCATCATCTCAGCGACGCAAGAGATGTGTAGGAGCAATGGTTTCATGGCTGGGTTCTTGGTTTATCGAGAGCATCCTATGACGTAGCTGGGGAGCTTTCATTATCTGTGAAATACAGCTTGTGACGACCGTGCTACAGGGCAGCCGTGCGGCCCCCGCTCCGGTACGGTCACACTACGTCTTCGATAAATTACAGCACTATCGCCAATCAGAGTCCATCGACTCGCATTTGTCCCTTTGATTCAAATCCGAGGTTCGGCCAATTCAACAGCCTCAAACAACAACTTTTTTTTTGATATTGGCCAGCGTCCCCATGGGCTGGTTGTGGAAAACCCCTTCCAAGGAGGGCGAGTCTCAAACCTCGCCTCCTGCTTCATCTGTGCTTCCTGATTCCGGTCTACCATCTGCACACACAGCACATGCATCTACGCCGTCCTCATCAGCACAAGCGGATCAACCCCCAACATTAACTCGCGAAGAGCAAGCCGACGCCGAATGGAAGAAGTTAATCGCTAGTCTCGAGGGCGATATTAGCCAGAAATCACACGATCAACAGCGATCGACTCCCGAAACACCGTCTCTCGATACAACAACATCATCCTCTAATCCTCATTCTCCCCCGAACTCGATCGCCCCCGATTCTCTCTATCCCGATACCATGTCTTGCCGCTCGGCATTCGACTACGCCTTTTTCTGTCAGTCTTTCGGTGGCCAGTTTGTCAACGTCTACCGATACGGCGAGCTGCGGTCTTGCAGCGAGCATTGGAGTAATTTCTGGCTGTGCATGAAGACGCGCACCTGGGGTGACGAACGGCGCAAGGAGGCGATTCGGGATCATTACCGGAAGAAGGCTATCAAGTACAAGACAGGGCCCAGCAGTGAGGATGTCTGGGATGTGCGCACGGAATCTATCGGCGAGTGCTTCAATGGCGACTTCGCCGCGCTCGAGAGGGAGGTGAAGGCTGCCGAGGAGGCCGCAGCAGCGGCAGCGGCCAGCCAACAAGCAGCGGCGGCATCCGCAACAGCAGAGGCGTCGTCAGCATCGTCATGAAAGAAAGATTCTAGTCGGTGAAAGCCCTCTCTCCTCTGGCCCATTCTTCTTTGCCCGTGTAAAAATATCCTGTCCATTTCCATGAACGTGCATGTTAGACTCGGTTGATCTTCATGTTAGTTTCGAATACGATACCTGTCCCTGGGGGATATTGTACGATAGCCATATTCAGATCAATCAAAAGGATGATAATGATTTGGCTAGACAATTGGGGGTGTTTTTCTCGGTCTCTTTGAAGACTGGAGTGCAGATTAAAGAAGACCGCCATTGTTTTCGGAATCGCGGTGGTCTGGCCTGTGAATCCTCTTTGTTAATCAAACAAACCTTTGTTCCCAATGAGTTCTTGAAAGGAATATTGATATGGGGATAAACTCCCTCGAAAGGGTCAGCCTGCGCCTTTTTCTTCCCCTTCGAATTTGCTGTTTCTTACTATGCATTGCACTACACTTCTCGACAACAACATTTAGACTCGCCCGTCCACAATCGAGCAGCAACTTCTTAATCCCTTCACAATCTTGAATCGCAAGATGGACAAGCTGACCGAGCAACCAGGCCAAAACAGAGCCAGGCGAGGTGCGTTTTCTGGACCCTCAAGTTCCGCAGCAGCAGCGGAGACAACGACACCAACACCAACATCAACTACACCAGGTTCACTAACTACACCAACTGCACCAACTGCCCCATCGCCATCTCACACGCAAGCACAGCCCTCCTACAGCACATTTCATTCATCGCATCATGAGGAGGGTACCGCGTACGTCCCACAATATAGAGATGCAACCAATGGCCCTCATGACGAGGTCGAGTACCACCCTTTTACCGCCCACGACCCCCTCTACTACCACCCGCGATATCGCAAAGTCGTGACCTGGAGGCAGCCAGCAGCGACCGTCATCCCCGCTGATGATTCGATTCCCCTGCCAGACCTCCCTCGGGAGACTCGCGCTCCTCCTCACCCTCCCTCTCCTCCCCCCATCCCCACGGATGCTAACTTGATGCCTCCGCCTCCTTTCCCCCGCCGTCTCCGTCCCCAGCCCCCGCAGCCCCCTTCCATCCTGAAACCCCCAACCAGGACCGACAGAGAGACCCTGCAGGGCAATCTCTGGGCCATGATGAAGCTCGCCGATCGCGAGCTCACCGCATGCCATGAAATCCTGGAGGCCACGAGTCAGCAGTGCCTGCAGCGTCTCTTCGAGATCGACGAAGGCTTGAAATACCTCGATGCGCTGTTCCAGGAGGACGAGCGGCAGGCGGACATGCTGCGACGGTATGGGAGGCACCACGAGCGCTCCGCTCATTGCCTGGCGAATGGGGATGTTCATTTCTACGCGTATCGGTACGGCCGCGGTCGTGTACCCAGGAGCACTCGGACTGAGCGGAGGACTGCAGGTATCAGTTCACCCTATCGTGGTGGCGGTCCTCATGATTGGCAGAATCGCCAGCGTGGCTTGGACCGTACCGTTGCCAGTGGACGGGTGGAAAAGATGAGGAAGAAGTCGGACAGTATGACTGGGATCGCGGCTCGAATCAAGCTTGGGTACGAGGACTTGAAGAACCGCCTTCCTCGCCGTAGACGAGAGGGAGACGAGGACGAGAATTGGGGCGGGATTGAGGGTGAGAAAACAGAGATTGAGACAGAGGAGGAGGATGCGGACGACGATGATGATGAAGATTACTATGATGAGGACGACAACGAGGATTGATCGAAGCCAAGTCTCCAAGGAATGAGATGGGTAGACTGCGAGATGGTGGATGTCGTTAGGGCTTGTCTTCTTATATTTTGTCAGTGCTCGTAATGCTAGTAGACCTTGTTTGTTACCAGCTTGCACAAATTTGAACTCGAATTTAAACAGTAATCATACTGTGCCAAGTCACTCAAGATCATCAGATTGATATTGACGTGAATAGAATATGTACAGACAGCTAGAAAGTTGCACAAAATGACAAACGCTCCGACCTTACACAACATTTTGACGATGAAAAGAACGCTGCACAACTCAGGCAAACATAGAAGTGAAGCAAGTCTTCAATCAGCCTCCTCAAAATAGTCTCTCGGAAAGATAGTAGAAAAATGTATAGTTATAGGGATATGAGCCACCCGACGTTAATTTCACCGAAGCAACCAACTTTTCTTTTAGCTTTTCCTTGATCCGTTTTGCCTTGTAATATTGACAGTCATAGATTCATTGTGATCATGAGTCTCACTTTGGGTCGTTGTGCTGCTAGATCCTGCCCAGCATGATGAAACCGAGATACGTAACAAGATTTAAGCTGAGACGGTCTGTGGCGCCGACTGGGGTACTGCATCAATAGCAGGACGGCGAACGATGCCGCCAGTAACTGGAAGCTGGGAGCTGGTGCCCATGAGAGCAGCATCAACCTCACGGGCACACTGGCGACCCTCGTTGATGCCCCAGACGATGAGAGACTGGCCACGGCGGCAGTCACCGGCAGCATAAACGCCAGGGACGTTGGTGGAGTACTGACCAGGAGGGGTCTTAACATTCTTACGCGCATCCCGCTCGATCTCATCTCCTAGAAGGCGATCTTCCGGTCCAAGGAAGCCCATTGAAAGAAGAACGAGATCGGCCGGGAAGAATTGCTCACTGCCTTCGACAGTCTTCATGTCCCATCCGCCAGAAGCACCCTTGGTCCACTCCACGCGAACAGTATTGATACCCTTAACGCGACCACTGCCATCGTCAACGAATTCCTTAGACATGACACAGTACTCGCGAGGGTCCTTGCCCATGTGTGTCTTGACTTCGGAATGGCCATAGTCAACCCGGTAAATGCGAGGCCATTGGGGCCAAGGGTTGTCACGGGCACGCTCCGGCGGAGGCTGGGGCAGCAACTCGAAGTTGGTAACAGATTTGGCGCCATGACGAACAGAAGTACCAATGCAGTCATTTCCGGTATCACCACCACCAATAACCACAACGTGCTTGTCCTTGGCGGAGATGTATGCACCATCGGCCAGGTTGGAATCGAGGAGCGACTTGGTGTTGCGGTGCAAGAATTGCATGGCGTAATGGATGCCCTCAAGCTCGCGTCCCGGGACCTTTAGATCACGAGCCACGGTGGCACCGGTAGCAATGATCACAGCATCGTTGGTCTCACGCAGGGACTCCAAGCTGACATCGTGTTCAGGTCCAACGGGAGTGCTAGGGGCAAATTGGACGCCTTCAGCAGCCATCAGGTCAACACGACGCTGCACAACTTTCTTGTCCAGCTTCATGTTGGGAATACCATACATGAGCAGCCCACCAATGCGATCAGCTCGCTCGTAGACAGTCACACTGTGCCCAGCACGATTGAGTTGATCTGCAGCAGCGAGACCGGCCGGACCAGAACCAATAATGGCAATAGTCTTACCAGTGCGAGTCTTAGGAGGACGAGGGACCATCCAGCCCATTTCGAATCCACGGTCAATGATAGCACACTCGATAGACTTGATGCCTACTGGGTCTTCGTTGATACCAAGGACACATGCACCCTCACAAGGCGCGGGGCAGACACGACCGGTGAATTCTGGGAAGTTGTTTGTCATGAGAAGACGGTTGAGCGCATCTTGCCACTGGTTCTGGAAGACCAGTTCATTCCACTTAGGGATGATATTGGAGATCGGACAACCAGTATCAGACTGACAAAATGGGACACCGCAGTCCATGCAACGAGCCGACTGGTACTTCAACTCATCCTCGCTGAGACGGGCAGAAAGCTCAGCCCAGTCACGCGTCCGAGTGGCTGGGTTTCGGTATTTTTCGCTGCGACGATTATACTTCATAAAACCTCTGGTCTTGTCGAGAATGAGAGCAGAGCGCTTCTTCTCGGTCTTCGAGTCACTGATGCTGTCTTCGATGTCGAGCATCTCAACCTTCTTCGCATCCTTTTCGGACTGAGCCTTCGATTTCTCAGCCGGAACCGGTGTACCCGGAAGCTGAGGGAGAGTGAACTCGGCCTTCTTTGCGGCCTTAGCCTTGGCACTCTCCTCCT